CATAGGACCCTGGGAACACTAACGTACATTATGGCTATAACTATGGATCAATGAGATTAAAAGATGACCCTCACCACCATCTTCACCTTGAATGATTATGCCATCTTTCTACCTATCCTGGAGAACATATGTTAACAAATTCATATGACTAGGCATGGCTATATAATATAATAAGTAGCATATAAAATGTAACAGCATCCGGGTGAAGATGAAGATGATTGAACGCCTCAAGGGGAAGACCGTGATGACAGTCGGAGTGAGGTCAAAATAAATCCCCCTTGTCCTTGAGTAAACCATGCTGTGGCATGCTGTTATTTTTCTCAAAAATCCATAACAAGAACTTGTTCACTATCTTAATACGGTTATCCCGAGTTGTGACTTGATGTATACGCTTAAACACTGAAAGCTACTGGTGTCAAAGCAGCTGAGGAACACTGATATAAACCATTTCCACATCCTCTAGTCCCTCTCTTCTTCTGATATCTGAAATCTCCTTCCCTCACCCCCTTCATTAGATGGCACCCTCGCCTTGTTGAAAAACCGGGAAGAAAGCTAGTTATTCAAATTTAAATCAACACTGACAGAGAAGCAGATGTAAAAAAAAGAGAGGGAGAGAGAGAGGGGTAAAGAGAGCTACAAAGCTTGTACCTGAAGTTGTTAGTATTAATGTGATTCCACTGCGAGGGTTGGGATCGATGCAGTCAGATGAGGGACCGCGTTAACATCTTAATCTCTAATAGCATCAGAGTAGGCAGACTATAAAACCTCTACCAGTTCAACCATGAACACACACACACACATACACACACACAGATCAAGATGATAAAACAGACAGAGAGGACATGAGGAGCCATTAGAGGAAGACCTGTATTGTGTGTTGAAAGAGAAGAGCCAGATAGCCTCGATGACCCCAAGCCAGACTGTTCCTTCACAGAAGTTCACGCAACAGAGAGCACAGTTCCCAGGAAAACCACCGCCCAAAGACCAAGTAAAAATAAATAAAGTGGAGGTCAATTTTTACTCAATAAAATTTTTAAGGTTTACTGAGTGAAGCAATGAGAAATGCAAACATTAGCTCCCACATTAGCTCACGCTGAAGCTGCAGTAGACAAGGTTTTTATGTGGTAAAAAAAAAAGGGACTGTGATCGGCCTACTTAGATCAAACTACAGACTTCACCAGAGAAGAACAACCCCAGCCCACCTGAGCACCACATTTTTGCCCTATTTACTAAAAATAACATTTTGGTGCCAGGTTTGTTCAGTGGGGGTGAAATCTTCTCCGTGCACAGCAAGTGACAAACTGAAACTACTTCTAGATCGCAGTAAGTTATTTTTTTCTTCATCCAGAAAAAGATGGATTGAAATCAATTGAACCTCGTCTCTAACAAGACATTCTGCTCTGAAGTGTGCGCAGTTGGGTCAATGGTATTTACTTAAAATTCAGGACAGTTAATTCTTGCTGCCATTTGAGGTTGCACATTTAGACGACTGCTTCTACATGAAAAGACGCACTAACATAACAATATACTGTAAGATTTAACAAGCCAAGGCTACCTCTGTCTGACGCTCATGCCACATCCGCTAAAAAAGATTTTCCATCCTCCCCTTGCCTGTTTGAAAAGCTTTTTGCTAATCACAGTTAGACAAAAGTTAATTTTTATTTTTTTATGGGCCCCATATCTTTAAAACATTCCAAATCTAATTTTGACTCATTAGTAAGCCCCCGGAGTACTTCTGTCTCATACTGCAGACACAACCTCCGAGACTCGCATGTGTGCGAATGTGAGACAGCATCTTTAATTACCCAGGTAACACAGCCAGATGCTCCATCACTCTGGAAATGGCAGTGATTAAAAGCAGTAAAATATTCATTTGAATCAGACACCCACATGCCACATGTATAATTAATGCACAGTGGAAGGACACAGCAACTTTTACTACACCCCCCAACACACACACTTCTCTCACCATATTCCCTTTACACACTGGAGCCAGCTGATACGCTGATGCGCATGTGTGTGTGCGGATGAGCCACTTTGAGCAATACTCCACAGGGAGGTCAGAGGGTAGCCAGACTGCATTCTGGGACATCATTCAGCCACCTACACAGCAGATGTGTTGGGTTGCTCACTCACTGCCCCGTCTCTCTCTGGGAGTGTTTTTGTTGGGGAAACAGCATCTTGAGTTTGCCGTCTATCGTTCAGCTTTCTCTGTTGTGGGTGTGCCACCTTTTCTGCTCCCTCTCCTACTTTTCAACGCCACGCTGCTCGTCAATAGCCTGAAATACCTGCGAGCAGTTTGTCAGACGTCTCAGAAGCAGTCGGATGTCTCTAGTGGGTGGAAGAATATACAACCACAAAACAATCAGAGACTTGAGGTGAATTTACAGACATAAAGTAGACATCTTATTTCTAAGTCACTTTGTGGAACAGATCTTATCTGCCCAAGGCTACGCATGTGAATGCAGAGAAACCACACAGAATACAGTAGGACTTTCCCATCTAGCATTTGAGCTAAAATATATTACAAATCAAATGTCTGATTAGAAGGTAACACCGAAAAGATGGGCTCTTTCACACACCTGAAATAAATATTTTCTCCTTTCAATCCATCTGACTGCTGTTTCTTTGTTTTCCTTGATTAAGCTCTCTGTCACAGTATTGTTTAGTGTCCAGCAGTAGGCTACAATTACTCAGCGCAGTGTTTGTGTGTGTATTTTATCACTCATTAGCTCCGGGTGTTAGTGTGTCATCTGTTGCCTGCTCGTGTTCCAATTTCTCTCTGAGGGGTGAGGGAGCAGCATCCAAACGCTTCAGTGTGTACGCAACAATGTGACCAGGAAGTCTCCATTTGAATGAATGAGAGCTGCGGATCCAAAAAATCCGAAAAAGGTCAAACCTGTGAGATCATGAAGAGCAGCACCTTGAGACATCTCAGCTTTAGTGAACCCTTCTCTTCAGTAGCGGAAAGCAAGGAGGTCCATGCTCAAAAAGGAACCTGGATGTTGCACCGGTGGTCTTCAATACAGAGATATCACAAGATTGATCTTGCATTCAAGAGGCAAGAACCTGTAACAGTTGGCAGATATTACACAAGCATTCTTGTGAAACTGAGCAATGGGAATTCTAGTAGCTTTCATTTAATCACAAATGGCCCGGTGTAATCTTGTCTATGAGATTTCCAAATGTTACATCTCCCCAGGAGCCTTGCATCAATAAGTAACTACTACTACTACACACACACACACACACACACACATGAGCACTTCAGAAGAAACTGCCTAAAACTCAGGCTACATCTCTTCTCGTCTTTGACCCACTGTCTAATTGGTTGTTGTGACAATGGGAGGGTTTTCATGTTCTTATGCAATGTCACAGGCTGATAATTGGCTCTTACTCTCACACACAGTATATATTTCATTGTGTTTCCATAATCCTCATTTATGTTATTGATAAATGTACATCTTTGATCCATTTGAATTTCAGTGGATCTTGCCCTGGGGGGGAAAAAGAGTTTTTGTTTTTTTTGCCTGCCACTTGCAAACAGAGCACGTTCTGGCTGAGTTATTGATATGCAAAAACCAATATTCCCTTGGCTTTTCCTTGCACGTTTTTGTATAAACCCTATCACTGGCCACTTATTCTAATATAGACACAGACTCTAATATAAACCTACCTTGTTTGCAGTAAAACAAAGCTTCCACAGCATGTGTAAAGACTGTTGAATGATGTTTTGTAAGCGGATACAGGCTCCGCACCTAACATCCATGACACAAATAAAATAATTTATCCCATATGAAAACACAGCAGTGCTTTTTTGATTTCAGTTTAACCAAGGGTGCTACTTTCAGCACACACACACACGTGCACACAAACAAAACATTACCAAGATATGAACCATAACTGCCTTCCCCTCTTCATTGTGTGACTGCTCCCCCAGGCTGTTGCTGTAAATAAGAATGTTTTCTCAGTCAACTTGCCTTGTTAAATAAGATTTTACAAAATCCCAAGAAAGATTTCTCAAAGCTTGACTGTGTTATTGGCATTCCTGTGCAGAACGCTGTGTTTTAAAACCTGCAAACAACCCGGCATAAATTTACACCATTAAGTCCCTCAGGCTAGAGAATGCATAAAGCGCTGTGTGTGTGGCATGTGAATGCAGAAGTCATAATGAGAATGTAGATGTCCTCTGCCTGCCATGGATGAAGCCTCCAACAAGCACACTAAAAGTGCTTGCCTGTTGCCGTGTCGATGAATAATGCACATATTAATCTGTATGTATGTATGTAAGCTTTCCAGATATTCATTTAGCATTTCCCCGTTCTAGGTTATCTAATTAACATGGCATCTTTGTAGTCACTCGACATGAATAACATTCTCTGAAGTTCAGCCAGCATGGTGTTGCTAGAGGGAAGGAGGGGCCTTGAATTTTTTCCAGTTTAGAATGACCCTAGCCGCTGCTTTACACACTACCACCCCCCAGCTCCACCCACCATAGTACTGGCAAGCAGTAGGAGTCTCTAGTGCAGCGAAAAGTACTAATCACAGCCACTAACCAAGAGCTTACATAATGAACTGTGTTTTTATGAGCCATTTCTTTCTATATTCACCGTGGGTCCCCTTGGATGGACATCGCCATGTTGCGCCACCAAGTTTCTACAGTAGGAACGAAGGAAGAAGAAGAAGTAGTAGTAGCAGTAGTAGTAGTAGTAGTAGTAGCAGCAGTAGTAGTAGTAGTAGTAGCAGTAGTAGTAGCAGTAGTAGCAGTAGTAGCAGTAGTAGTAGTAGTTGTCTGGTTTATTAGAAGTAAGAAGGGAAGTAAATATGTGGACAAACAGGGGACCACAATGTATTATTTAGCACAAGAGCCAACAGAGCGTGTCGGCCACCATAGCTTCTCCTACTCGCTTGGGAATGAAGGGGTGAGTGTTGACTGAGCCACTGGTTGCAAATTGCAACCCTTACCACTAGATGCCACAAAAAAAACACTGAACCTTTGATCCTTTTACCACCTGTGCACTCAGGGGCTCTGAAATTTTAATAACCATGAAAACCATCTTTTAGGCTAGCAGGCCAATACAGCAATCACTCTCGTATTCACTCATTAATTTATATAATAGTCAGTCTACACATTTGTGAGGATTTAACACTTCTGTCAGCTGGTGCTCTGCACCACGTGGGACTCTCCCCCCTCAGCAGCAGCAGGGACAGAGGTTGATACAGCTAACTCTGAAGCTACAGACTGGACAGGTACTTTGCTTTCTTGATTCACATTTGGGGAGGCAAGCAGAGCTGCAGGCAGTTCAGTGGGGAGTGAGGCCGGGCGGTGGGGCAGGTGGGGCTTGTGTGCCCCTTCTTGCCCTCCTCTCCTCTGGTCTTGAGCATTTTCCAGCAACACACGGACACTCTTGGAGAAGACGGCACGAGGGTCAGTAGCAGGAAGAGCAGGGCAGACGCAGCTCTCCCTCAACTCCAGAGCCTGGACAGAGACAGAATGAAGAACAGACATTATATATCATTATAACTTCAGACAAGAAGTGAATTAACAAGTACAAAGATTAAATGTCTTATATTAAATGCCTTTGTGTAGTGGTGAGCCATTTTTTGTTTTTGTTTGCAGTGTATTAGACTGAACAAAATTATAAACGCAACACTTTTGTTTTCGCCCCCATTCATCATGAACTGAACTCAAAGATCTAAGACTTTCTCTATGTACACAAAAGGCCTATTTCTCTCAAATATTGTTCACTAATCAGCATCTTGATATGCCACACCTGTGAGGTGTATGGATTATCTCGGCAAAGGAGAAGTGCTCACTAACACAGATTCTGACAGATTTTTGAACAATATTTGAGAGAAATAGGCCTTTTGTGTACATAGAGAAAGTCTTCGCTCTTTGAGTTCAGTTCATGATGAATGCGGGCGAAAACAAAAGTGTTGCGTTTATAATTTTGTTCATAAATTTCTATCATTCAACAGTCAAGTCAGTGTAGAACAAGAAATCCGTTATTTGTTCTTTCTACTTATAAGTGTATAAGATATTTCATCAAAACACAGCTGTGATCTGAAATTAATGCAACACGAAGAAGGTTAGAAAAACAGGGAAGAATGTGAAGGACCAGACAAACAAAGATACTGACATGTACAGATACACTGAGCAAAAGGCAAAATAGCTAAATAGGACACCACAGAGAGAATCAACAAGAGCCTACAGCCGTGCTACTGTAGCAACTCTGTGAGGCTGTACTAAAGCACGGCAGTGCTTTAGGCTAAAAGATATCACATCTTAGCTTAGCGTGTTAGCACACTAACATTCGCTAATTTGCACTAACACAAACTACAGTCAAGGAGATGGGAATGACATAAGAGAAATAGACATTTTGACCTGATGATGGTGCTAGAGGAAAGGTTAGGGGATCACCAAAGTCTGTACACTTCTACTCTGCAGGACATGAAAGACATGAGTGTCCGGACAGACATTGCCATCCGCTACCATAGCTGAAAATATGGCTATAAATATTCAGATGCAAGCTCTCTTCAATCCTTCCAAAAAATCGATCCCATACAGGTCGGGTGAGCAGCACCGGTAGGAACCAACTCCTGAGCAGTCCCCAGCAGTTACAGACATTCTCTCCATCTGTCTCACACACCCACACACGCACAAAATCCATCAGTCTCTCACTCAGAATCACCTTCAAGACTCTGAGCACACACATGCACTTGCCTTCACACTCAACAGGCTCTCCCTCTCGCACTACCAGTGGACTTATGCGCTTTGCTTAAGGATGGTGAGCGCACTAGTGGAGGCGGAGTGCCCTCAGAAGAGTTGGGTTAAGTAGCTTGATGCTGTCACCCCTCACAAGGTTAAAAACATCACATTATGCATCACTTTCAGCCGACTGAACTCAGCTGTTAACTGGCTCATGTGTGCTGCTATGCTGGATCGAACCGTTTGGTGTGAGGAGGGTATTAGAGATAGTACCACACGTGCATACACAATCTCTCATACACACACACACAGACACACACACACAATGGAGGCCGATGAATCCCCCAAACAGCAGTCTTTATCACTTCACTGCCTGTGACTGCAGCCTGGCCTCGACAACAACTGCTGCTGCTGGAGGTCAATCTACCACACAGGGATATGATATGATGTACGGACACATACATATAACACACACACACACATAGAACAAGTACACACTCAACGACACAAGCACCTGATGGACAATTAGTGGTTTACCCATCTGTTCGTTTTTCGAGCTTGGAGCATCTGACGGTGTACCGACAGTCCAACTCACGCTCAAGGTTAAATTCACTGCTGCCTAATACATTATATGTCTCTCCCTCTCTCTCTTTCTCTCTGTCTGCCTCTGATATATACACACACACACACACACACAAGATGTGATGACTGCGGATGCTGATGCTTTCCATAGGAGTTGCTGTCTTAACTGCTTGATTTCCTTGTAGCCTTAAGATACTATTGATTGTCTTGCCACGGTGCCGGCACAGTGTGTGAGCCTTTGAGATCGAGCTGCTACTGTGGGGCTGTTTTCTTTCAGGTTCTCAACTCAAAGCCTCCAAGACTTTTAGGTAGTTAAGCAGGCATCTAGGCCCCTGTGTGGCAAACTATTTTTCCTGTTTTCCTAAAACCTTGCATGTTTTCCCTCTCCTCCCCAAGTCTCTTCCTCCTCTCTGCCCTCCTCGCCACATGTCTGCAGGTGGATATACATCTCTCCAGACGCTTCATTAGTTCCATTAAGACTCCTTCCAACAGCTCCTAAAGCTACACAGTTTCTCCTAAACAATAGACAGATGAAGGGCTTTCTCCTCACACAGGGATCAAAGAGTCTTTACTTTAGACAAACACATGAATCAGAGTAGCAAGAATGTGTTTCCTTATATAATTGAGGTAAAATAAAAAGAAACTTAAGAGCTGCCAATGCTGCTATTTGGACTGAGCAGGGAAGCATTATCGTGTGTTTGTACCTGTGGTACAAGGCGGTCCAGCTGAGCGACTCTGTTCCTGTGAGACGGGTGTGTGGACAGCCACTCAGGGAAGGTGGGCTCTCCTTTCAGCTGGTCTCTGATGTCCATTTGCTGCCAGAATACGGGGCCTGCTCGCACATCTGCACACGCCTGGGAAGTACAACCCCCCCATCCCCAAACGCCATGAAATCAGAAACACACAATGTGGCATCTCTCCGTCTTGTGCTCAGATGGAAATCCTTATGGACTCATCCAGTGAGTTTAGTTTGACAACAGTACCCCCTAGTGGCCTGCAGACAGGTTACAGCAAAGAGCTACATTGGAGGATTTACATTTGCAAAGTTAAAATACTGATTACCCTATGAAAGAGCAAACATGTTTTAAACAATTCCTTAATCATAAAATGTGGGGCCTCAAAAAGCACCAAAAATCTTTAATATTGTCATATCACATTATAGGGAAACCCCAGTTACTTACTACTGCGCTTCCATAAAGTTGGGGAACTCATACAGAGACAGACAGAAAAAACAACTCAAGGCAACAGAGATCGAGATATCCTAACTTTTAGTCCCTTGCATGGGTCAAGCTCCATATATGCTGGAGCCTACATATCACATGATGCAACTCAATAGCAACTTTTACTAGACGGCCACTTCTTTCAAATGCCACTCTTCCAGTTTGTCAAGCAGGCTTTTAAAGTCTAAAGTGCACGCCAAGATGTGTAGTACTCCTTGTGACTGGTGAACTGAACTGTATGTGTAACATCTGTGAAGTGCTCCTTTAAGTAATAACAAATTGGAGATGACGATACCTTAGCAGCCAACTGCAATCCGACTTGATCGGCCTCAGCCTCCAGTTTCCTACTGTAGGGACGGGTGAACATTAACTGAGGGGAGACAAACGGTGCATGTATGAGGTTTTATAAACTCTAAGATTCATACACATTTCCCTTATCAAAAGTCCAAGAGGATTCCAGTGCTCTGCTTTTCAGACTAAAGGCAAATCTACAATAATAATGGCACAACATTAACAAATTGTAAAACTGTGTTGTTTCTTCAATTAATTAACAACCAGGAAAGTGTGTTATACAGTGTATATGGGTAAGATTGTGGAGTGGGTCTCACCTGGGAAAGCTTGTCCTGTACCCACTGTGCCAGCAGTGCCAGGCTGTCTCGAGGGCACACAGCCCAGATGGCTGTCAGCAGAATAAGGGACAGGAGGTCCACGACATGAGACAGACTGGCCTGTTCCGCCTGGGGGAGGAGAGCAGAGGGATACGGGATGGCGAGGAGGAGATGACGGAGGAGAAAGTAAAGGGTTGGGGTGAAAAAAAGATGAGAATGGGATAGGGAGAGAAAATCAGAGGTAAAAAGTTTTTGGGAGGTGAACCAGTCTGCTGGAACATATTGATTGTTCCCATCTATTTTAGTGGAACTTTTACGCTATAACAGATTTAAAGGTTTTAGCAGCCAATCCAACAGAGCACACCTACTGGGTAATACCAAGCCCATCGATGCTCATTCCCTTCATCTAATTAAAATCTCCTTCAAGCATTTCCTCCGAGGACGTTTAAAGTCTTGAAATACCCACACCTTCATTAGACACTTTTTGAGAACAAGAAGAATGGTCTTTCGTAGGCAGAGAAAAAACAGCCGTCTGTGGAGAATTAATTTAGCATGACAGTGCCCTAGGTCGACAGGACTTCGGTCATCATAACACAGACAGGATTAGTGAGTGCTTGGAGTCGATTGTCAGTGAGTCTTTATCACAGGCTGATGCAACAACACTGCAACTGACGCCACTTCAGCCATTACTATACTTCTGAGACAGAGTGGGGCGCTGATGATGAATAGTGAGGAGACCTCAGTGTATAATGCACATACCTATAGGAGGTCCACATACATATTTTACGACCTTGTGAGGGAGAGACCTGGAAGGCTTCCAGCTATAACTCCTACTCTGCGTGCCAAGGGTTTCTAAATGACTACATTTTCTTCTCGAACGTTATTTGCACTTTAAGTGTTTTCAATGACTCATCCTCATGCACAGCAAGGTCTGCTACTATCAGCTAAGCCTCTCAAATGTCAGCAGACGTGGGGCGGCGTTTAGCTCAGTTGGTAGAGTGGGCGCGCCACGTACTAAGGCTAAACCTGTGTAGCAGCGGCCCGAGTTTGAGTCCGACCTGCAGCCCTTTGCTGTATGTCGCCCCCTCTCTCTCTCCTGCATTTCCTGTCTCCCTCCAGCTGTTCTATCTCAATAAAGGCTAAAAAATGTCAGCAGACTGCATACAGGTATTTTTACACCGCAGCATTCATTCTCTGCAGAGCCAAACAGGTTTCTGTGTTTTCTGCATCAAACTCAGAAGTGCCGCGTCTTTGCTTGTTGTCACTGTGTTTCAACATCATCAAGGCAAACTCACGAAATGATTATTATTATTATTATAAATAAAGTGACTGACTCAATGTCAGGTCAAGTACTGGAGCAAATAACATAGGGTAGAAATAACGCCACAATCACAAACACAGTCTGCAGAGGGTTATGTACTTACAGAGTGTCCCAATAAAGCATGGGCCATCTCATGTCCCAGAACAATAGTGAGCTGGTGAACATCTGCCACGGCGTCCAGCATCCCCGTAAACATGAACACTTTCCCGTTCTGCAAAAAGGAAAATACAATCCATATTTGAGCCATATAGCTTTTGAAGAGTCAGCTGGGATTGGCTCCAGCCTCTGCGACCCTGTACGCAGGATAAGCGGTTGACGATGGATGGATGGTGTTTGAAGATATTCTTTACAGGTGTACAAAAAAGTAGACAATAACTGGTAACTTCTCTGAGACTGACTATTTACCTCAACCTCTACCACAAGTGAGTAATGCCAATACTATTAATCCCACCCACTTAGTACTTTCAGCAACTTCAAAACAAAGTAAAATTTGAATTATTTATCAATTGTTTGTTCATATTTCACAATGAAAACATTTAATGTGGGCTGGTTGCAAAAGCAAGCAAAATAAATTGTGAATCTACCTTGCTCTGCAGGATGGAAACTTTATAGGAGACACACGTGTAAAGACGCACTCTGTTTTAATAAGACATTCTTACATATGACTTTAAAGATGGTGATACTATACTACGTGATAATATGGCATGCAAGTCAAATAATTCTACATCTGTCTTTCTTTTACTGACCGGGAGGACAAAGGCATTGATGTCGTGGCTTTGCACCAAGTGAACGCTCCAGGTGACCTGAGACACTTCAGGGATGTCCTTGTTCCTCTGTGCCAGGTGCTGCACCACCCGCTCCACCACCTGGTGACGGGGGTCAGTGACTGGAACCAGCAGCTCTGCAAACTCCTCCATGTACTTAAGCACATACACACACTCAAGAATTTTAGGAATAATAATTTCACCTGCTTCATTTCTCTTCATATTAAATCTTCTCTCCTCTTCATCCACTCAAACACACACACACACATCAGGAGGGGGCTCCTCCTCTCACCATCTCCGAGGTGCGAGCTGCCAGCTCCATGTAGTTCTCCCTGCTGAACACCAGGAGGCGGGTCCGTCCTGTCATCGGGGACTCATCCAGGTGGGTCAGGAGAAGGAGGACTATAATCACCATAGCAACGCCTGTCCCTGCCGCCAGATGCCAGCGGCGCTGCCAGACCCATTCGCGCATGAGCTGCCGGCGGTTGGCTGGTAGAGCCACCCACCACTTCCTTATACTCCTGTACACAAAGGAAGGCAACAAGGTTTGCAATATGTGTTTATTTAGCTCACACAGCCTCATGCAGTAAATGTAAATTTATAAACAGCCCTACAGGGGTAAAGGATGAAAAGAAAAGAATCAAAGAAAGCTCCTTTCATGTCTGGCAAATGTGCATGTTTGGAATTCAGCAGAAAATGCAAGTAGAAAATTCCACAGCAAAGGTTCCAGTTAGAAATGTACGAATCCGGGCAGACCCACAGTTTTCAATAATCTCTTAGATCAAAATAGATCTGGCCAAGAAAGTAGCTTCAAAACATGAATAAAATATGTTTACAACAATGTACTATGCACAAAATTCTGAGGTCATATTGTGTGTTTGCCCAGAAGAAACAGTCAAATATTAAAGTAGACAAGTAGGCCAAGTCTTTTTGAAATAGTTACTAAACAAAACAACTCTGTGTATTGCTGGGAATGTTTCCAAATTCAGTTCTCTGGCCCAAAATTTGAAGAAAAGGTCAGTCCACTTCAGTGAGTCATTTTTGCCACATAACTTAATGCAATGTGAGACCTGAGATGTGTGTATTTTGTGTAAATAACTATGTATAAAGTAATTTATTTGTTCTTATCTAAATGACACAAATAATACAACTGTTTATTAAACAATTAAGAGTGTGTTATTGGATGAACACATTAATTAATTAGTATAATTAAATATTGTTCCTTAAAGCCATGAGCACATTTCTCAATATATTCTGTTTTAACAACAAGATGTGCCTGCCTTACTATGTGCACTTAATAATCAACACAGTAATCAACATTTACATTTATTGACTTGTATGTATTGAACGTTTAACATAGTAGAGTGGACTATGTTTTGATGTTGAGGAGCCACTTGGTGTATAATAATAAAACAACACTGTGTTTCCTACCTGCCCAGTATTATAGCCATGAGCTTCTGCAGAGGTTTGAGCACCAGCCAAATGAGAGGAGCTGGTATGGCCCTCACAGGGGCCGAGGTGTGGAAGTGGTGTCCGCGCTGTGTCAGGACAGGGCCGGGGTGCAGGGGTAAAGTGGCTTTGGGACTAATCTGGAAACACACCGTCCTTCCACTGCTGCAGAAGAAGAGAGGTGGTCCCGTCGGAGAGGCTCTGAAGTGAACATTGTGTGTTCTTCCGTGACAGCTGATCTGAGAGGACACAGAGGGTGCCCTCTTCAGGGAATGTCCAGCTCCGTTGCAGACCCAGAAGTTTCGTGTCAGATGCGCAGGACGGGAACAGAAGCGACTGCTCCTCAAAAGATTAACACAGAGTAAGACCATTGTACTACACAACTCTTCGTGATTCACTCCTCAGACTGACCCAACAACGGCCAGGTACGTTGCAGACGACGCCGAACACGGCCATCTGGGGTTCCACATCTTAATGCGGAAGTGACTGTCACAGGCCGTTTTTTTACTTAACCTAACGGTATTTAATTTCATATCGAGCACTCGCCTGTCAATGTCATTGCTATCAGTGGACGCTACTTACTGGTCACCTCTACCCAACAGCCGAGCACTTAACTGTTTGTATCTGACGCAAAAGTTTTATAACTTAACACGGAGTTAAAAACATTTAGTTCCTTTGCAACCATATAGTCTATGTTTGACGCTCCTGCTTCCTAAATGATCCCCCTAGAAACAACTCCGCGAAGATCGTTCCGGGCCCTCCCCTTTGGACAATTTAAACAAAAATATTCTCGTCCCTATGGAAGCTAGCATTTACTTTGACTTGTCCTTACACAGTCACACTTAGTCACTGTGTTGTAAAAGACATCATCTTAAACACAATGACAAACATATCAAGCCATTACACAAAAACATGTATAAAAGGCGGCCACAAAATATGAAAATACATTTTTATTTTCATGTTTTAAAAAAACTGCTGAACTGATAAAGTGAAATGCCCTGCTCATAACATTCTCATCTCTCACATACCCAAACATTACTTTTGGTTAAAGGGCTTTACTGAAATAATAAAATGTAAACAAGTGAGTTGGTAATACTGATACAAAACATCATGGTATTTACATACAAGTGTACACTTTGTTAATAATGTATTTAGCAGTACAGTCAGATATATCACAGTAAATAGTCATGTTCGGTCGACAACACAGAGCCCAGATGTAACACTGTGCTGCTGTTTGACTCTGAGGTTGTGTCTTTGCTCTGTGTGGCGGGCTGTACGCTACTGTCTGAAGCTCTGCCACAATCCAGATCAGAGTCTCTTCCTCCCTCCTGGGGCCTCTGCTCACTGATCAGATGATCAAAAGCCAGGTCGTCCGAGTCCACTGGTCTGGGTGAGATATTTAAGGATTCTCTCTCTTCCTGGTCAGGCGGTTGCTGCTTGGCAATAAAGTCCGACTGGAAAAGGGTCTGGATCTGGGTGAGGAAAGGGTCTCCCTCTTCATCTGGCAGGGGCTCAAGGTACTTTGCCAGAGATGACAGCATCTAAAGGGAGGTGAGTAATGGAAGAGATCAAGTAAAATCAGACATCAGTTAATGAAGCCATTAGCCAATGGGATGTGTGCACACAGCAGGTAGACTGATCTGCTAGACAGACCTTCTCCAAACAGGTGAGATGGGAGTCTTTCCGGAAAAATCTGTCCATCTGCACACTCCTACCCAGAGCAAAAAAAAAACAAAAAAACATTTTAAATACTTCAACGTTAAGCTTCAAGAAAAACTGTTCAAAATCACTAAAAGCCAGTCTTAGCATTAGACCCCACCTGTCAGGGCGACCACTACTTTAATTGTCTTTGATTCTCACTCACCCAGGTGTTTGGCAGTATTTGTGAATGATCCACTGAGCTCTTCTCAACGTCTGTTCCCAGTCTGGTATGTCTTGTGATGAGAGGAAGTCGAATCTGTAGGGCAGCTCTAGGGAGAGATGGACACAGAGAGACTCAGCCAGAAGATAAACTGCGCTGCTGTGTGCTGAAATCACTGACCTACATTGTCAGCTTGATTTCAAGGCCTCTTGATCTTAACTGTTTTGAATCATGTGTCTTTGTAACATACTCTGTGGGCCTGAAGTCTCCAGGCTCTCCTTCACCAACAAGCAGGTGGTTTGAGAGTGGGGGGAGCGATTGGCTGGGTCATACGGGCTCACGATCATCCCGATGAAGGGGGCTCCGCCACGCGAGAAATATCTCTGGAACAGTCAGGACAAAGGGAATCAGATGTTCTATTGCATCACACGATCACATGACCAACTCCAGCGTGACCTCTCTCATCCATTAATTTTACCTGGAACTGGTCCTGAGTGTTTATGTCCCGCACGGAAGGGTTGGGGTTGAAGGAGGGATGTGAGTGGTACCAGCCCACTACACTGAACCCCAGGGATGACAGCAGATCACAGGCCTGTGTCTGAGACACCGGGTCCATCTCACACTGCAAACCCGTACTCACACTGTTACACGGCTCTGCTGCACGGATCTGCACAGACACATAGAATCACTAAATACACATTTCAAAATACTGTGTATAGAAATTAAAATCTCTATCCTCATCTTGGACGTTGTTGCTTTTCGCTCCTTTTCCTACCTTTAATACTTTCTCTTCCTCATTGAAAGTTCCGCCTAGCAGACCGATGACTTCCCCCCGCGACACGTGGGCGTGCTGACAATCAAATCATTTTTGGAACATTTGAATACAACAAATGATAATACATGAATGACAATTGAATGATAAATGAGACAATTGTTTCAGAATATAATATCACAAAAACAGGGAATCATTTATAGCAGTGATCGTCAACTGGGCCACATCTGGACCACAGAATGGCCACTGATGATAGTATTTATTATATATTTGCAGTATTACAAACTGCATCTGTGTGTCTAAATTCCCGAAAGAAATGCTGTCTTAAGTTTTTGATAATGCGAACTGCACATTTCCTACTGCTGCTGAAGCTTCACATTAAGAAACACAAGTTGATGAAGTAGTCACAGGAAATTCAATGTACTTGTCAGTGAGATCAGCACAGACCACTATGGTTTATTAAAAATCAGTCTTCAAAACAATGGTCATTTAAAAAGTTTTTTGCAGGGTACCAGTTCGAAATATTGCAGCCAGTAATAGAACAGTCAAGAGCAGCCACAGTGAGCTGATAGAGGAAAAGCTGCAGGTGACACAGCCAGGTAACCAACTCCTTTCACTTTCACTGTTTTCACAGAGCCATGTCATGTGCAGCATAAACTCAGATCATGACTGCTCACATAATTATGGAAAAAGACCAATTACTGCCTGCCCAGACTTCTGTGAGCTGTAGTATTAAACCGCATTTGCTGTTACCATCAGTAACTACAGCCGTCACGAGTAACGAATGCATAATGGCGTTAAAAGTGTTTGATTAATATTTCCTGCCAATCTAAACTTCACTCTGCAGTTATATTTACAATAACAGATTTTAACCATCACTCCTCAGTGCACTGCCTATTTGATGGAAGTCTGAGAGCATTTTCTAGTTAAGTACCTAGTATGTGGTTGTCATTATGGATTTACCATTTTAGGAGTGAAAGTGCAAATATTAAACAAGAATCTGCTTATTTAAGCCTAAATTAAAAAACAAAATATTTCAAAGTCCGGCACCCACAGTATCTGCTTCTGGCCATTCTGGCCCTTCAACAAATGTAGTTGAGGACCCCTGATTTAAAGGCTCGTCTTACAGGTCAGTGGATAATCAGCTCATGGTGAATGCAGAACACGGTATTTTCTGAAACTTCCTTAAAGATGACCAACATGTCAGTGTAGTACCAAAGGGAGATTATATTCAGCATGTGTGGTTATGTATATAGCCTACCATGTCCATTATGAGAAGAGTCTCTGCACACACAATAACCTGGAATGGTTCCTGGGGAGAACAGCAAAGAATAGCTTTTAATACTCATTAAACTTAAAAAAAATTAAAAAAAACAACAGGACACCGATGAATCACAAAAAATTAAATAAAATACAACTATAATAGTTTAGTCCACACTGGTTGATACACTAGTCAACAAGAAAGAGAGACAAGAAAGTAGGGGTGGGAATCACCAGATCCCCCACGATACGATATTTTCACGATACTCATGTCACGATATGATATTTTGCGATTTTAAACATATTGCAATTTATTGCAATATTTTATCTTTTTCCCAACTTCAAATTGTGTCCACAAAGGAAAATTCTTTTTCTAGTGGACTGAAAAAGCAATTTTATTAGTGCCAAAAAACAAACTTCTCATGTACAATTTATATAATAAAAAAATTGATACTTGACATTCCTGTTACGATACGATATTGCCTTGCAAAATATCGCGATACTATGCTGTATCGATTTTTCCCCCACCCCTACAAGAAAGTGAAGTGAATGCACTTCACTTAGGGAAATGTCATTTAAAAAAGCAGGATACCTGACAGACTTTTAAAAAAAAATGTCTTAAAGAAGAGACTGGACCTCTGATAAAACCGGCTGTGCCCTCTTATTATAAACTGTTACTGAGGTCATGAAATTTAACCCCAAATTAAATATGTAGTAAAATTACCATCTTGCAAGACACACTGCATTACTGAAGACCGACAGATGGAATAAATGGCCACTGACCTGTACATCCTCTCCAAAACATCTGCAGGGAATCAACTGGAAGGGATCAAAAGACCTGGAAGAAATGCAGGATATAATTATAATGATGTTGGGAACTCAGCACATGTTACATGAATCCGTCGTGCTCACCCTCTTGACAATCTAGACATCTTGCAGGGTTTGGGCTGCTTCTTCATCCCCTCTCTCCGCAGAGCGAGTTCCTCAGCACTGAGATGCTGAAGAAAAACACCACCAACAGAGGGTCAATAAAAATATATTGGTCAGTGATCAATAATTTACTGAAACACATATGGTGCATGTGTGTGTCCAAACCTCATACGTCTGTCCCTCCAAATCTTTACCGTCGCACCAGTTTCCCCATATGTCCCGCACACGGCGCTTCCTGGTCCGCTACAACGTGCAGCCAATCAGCAGTTAGCGCAAGGTCAAGCAAAATCACAGTTCAGATGCTTGAGGTTGGGTGTCAGCAGAGTACAGGGGTTTATGGGCACCTACCATGCTCTGCAGTCTCTGGGCGAGTTGGTAGGCCTCAAGCACATCTTTGCCCTCCTTGTGCTTGGAGCGGTCCACCACCTTTGGGCGATTATAGACTGCTTGCTCTATGGGAGATGAGACAGGGCTCCACATGAAAAGGGAATAACGTTTTTGTTTTGTTTTTTACAGAAGAATGCAGTCATAGGTTCCAGTAAAGTTACCGCAGTTGAAGTTGATGGCTCCAATGAGCTCCAGGTAGGTGTGTATTCTCCCAATGCAGTTGACGTCCCCGCAGTTCTTCAGTCCAGGGCGGACCGAGGTCTTGTTCAGGTACTTGGGCTTGCTCTTCAACCTCGTGAGCAAAAAAAGGAAAAGAAAAAAAGAGTGATAACCACTTCTTCTGCAGAGTTGTAGTAAGAGAAGTTACCAAATATGCGTTACCACTGATCCAGGATGTAGTTTCGGATCTTAAGGTATCTTCCTGGGGTCTTGGATGGTCGTCCCTCAAAGAACTCTGGGATAGCTTGTTTCTCATCCTCAGCGATGGTCTCCATGTCCATCTCCATTTCCTGCTCGGGGGCCTTAAGCTCCTCCTCGTCCTCATTCTCTTCCTCCTCCTGGTTATCTTCTGGTCTATCAGTTACACCTTGCTCATCCTTATCAGCATTATCTGCGAGGCACATAAGTCCACAGCGTGACTTCACAAGAGAAAAAAAGTTGTGAGGTGGCTTTACATAAAAACAGCAGGCGTGAGCCTTACCTGTGTCATCACTACCCGCTTCTTCCAGTTGACCGGTCTGTGCTGAGCTCTCAGACTGGGAGCTCTGGTCTTCATTCTCATCAGTCATTTGGTCTGAATCTTTCTGAGCTCCTGCCTGAAGACTTTTTGGATGGAGCGATACTCTCTCATCACCTTTCTCATCTAGACCAGTCACACCAGTCTTTCCCGAGCAAGGGCAGGAAGACAAGGATTGAGGACTTTGTAGCGATAGTGCTGTGTGGCTGGTTTGGTCCTCTGTCTCAGTCAGACCTGCCTGTTTCTGATCTCCTGCGGGAGTGTCGGTCTGGATCTCGGTGTCTGTTGGACGCTCTGGCTCACGGAACTCATGTTTGAGCGCGGCCTGCGGTTTATCGCCGGAGTCTCCGTCATCATCACTCAGGCCATCAGTGATGTCTACCTCCTCATCCTCTTCATCAGAAAGCTTCTCTATGCGGACAGCGTTTGCCAGAGTGGATGCATGACTGGAGGTGGGCTGAGGAAGTTGCAAGTGAAGCACAGGACCTGCAGAGGGAGCTGTAGGTCTGGGTTCTGATTTAGCCTAAAAGAACATACACAGATGATGAAAGACTTTCCCAACCCTTCCTGAGGAATGCATCCTGGTTGTGAAAGTGCTTGAATAATGAAGAAAGCACATGTTTAACTGTGGGAGACTACAATCAAGCTAAAGTGAAACTTGTGAGTATACCCTGCGAGCTGCTTAGGTGGCAGCGCAACACAGGTAGAAAGTAAAGGCGAGTCTCACCTTGTGTTTGAAATACTGTCTGGCATAGCTCTTGACCTGAAGAACAGAACGGCTGCCTACCAACTTGGCAATCTTTGTCCACCTTCGACCAAACTGAGCCTGCAGAAAAACACATCTCAGCCACTTGGTATTTTACACAATCCACTCCTGTATATCTTCATATACATCTATTCTACGCCTGTACACCAGAGAAGCAATCAGATTCCAGAGACAACAGCAAATGATTGTATGTTGACAAGAGAAGCTTACCAGTCCTTCCTCAAACAGCTCTTTCTCCTGTTTGGACCAACGAGAAGAGGGGCCTGAGGCCGCGGCTGAGGTCTTGGCTGGGGACCTGAACATCCGACAGACACAAATGTAATAAGAATGCCAACGACATGCGGAATGGGTGTATTCTGCTCATGTGAATGCCTGAGGGAAAACCTACTTTTTTACTTTGGGCTTGTTGTTGGCATCACTTTCCCAAATATTATTATGAACCTCCCCACCTGTCAGGTAGTATCTACAAGTATGGTTCAGGACCAACAGATTTAAGCCGGCATTATCCAAACTATGCATCTGAACAAATAAACTGTACAGTATACGTCAACTGACATGAAACAGAGAACACATTAAAAACAGCCAATGCCACAGTTCACAAGCTGTAATGAGCAATTGTCAGCTAATTTTACTTGATAAATGGATGTTTAAAAAGTCAAATCATCGTCAATTTTGCACTATTTCTCACTTCATTATAATTTTTCTCTTTCCATTTGTGTGTCTTTAATTTCTGTAATTTGTAGGGGTGGAAATCGATACGATATTATCGCGATTTTAAAAATATTGCAATTTATTGTAATATTTTATCTTTTTCCCAACTTCAAATTGTGTCCACAAAGGAAAATTCTTTTTCTAGTGGACTGAAAAAGCAATTTTATTAGTGCCAAAAAACAAACTTCTCATGTACAATTTATATAATAAAAAATCGATACTTGACGTTTGTGTTATAAGATATTGCCTTGCAAAATATCGCGATACTATGCTGTATCGATTTTTCCCCCCACCCCTAGCGATTTATTTGTCGTCTCAATGAGGAGTTCTATTAAATCAGCAATATTTTCCAAGACATTTGACTCCTTAGCATCTCTGCATGGCTTCTGTATTGTAATCCCCTATCAGAGGCACCTCTGTAGCTCATCAGGTCTGCAGTTTGCAGTTAACCTCCGGAAGACAGTCGTGTTGTTGTGTGATGCATCTGAGGTCAGTGAAAGGATACTGTTCCTCCAGCAGCATCCTCTCTATCACCTCTCTGTTCTCCGGGCTGATGGAGCTGTCCAGCTCCCACGGCTGCACAACAGAGACACAAAACAGTCAACTCAGGCACGAACAGCCACACAGGACAGGAGTCCGCTGAAGGACCATTAGCTTCATGAGCTCCTACCAGTATCCCAGCTCTGCTCTTCCACGCAGACTGGATGAACTGCTCCTGGACTAATCCTCCTCCGTCCAGCTCACTGCAACAGAGACAAGAGAATCAACACAGCACATGAAGGGCCGAGTTGACTCTCATCATGCATCTGACACAGGACAGCTAACACAACCTCCATGCTAACTACCGCTGTAGCCTGCGGGGCTAAGACAGCAGGTCTCCGTAAGCTAGTGTGGACTGCAGTTCACGAGACCAAAAGATAGTATAAATGTTAATTCATCAGAAAGAGTAAACATTCTCACCTAATACTGCTATCAAACTCGCCTCCCTCGATATCAACATCCACCTCGTCCTCCATGTTGTTGGATAAACGTAAACAACGGAGAGGAGAGAGAAGACCGGAGGGACACAGGGTTCAGCTTCACTCACAGCGACACCTTGTGGTCATGTACGAATTTACCCTTTGCAGTTTTCTGCCCGCTTACTACACATGACCCCTCCTCTAAACTGTCTCAGTTTGGTTTGTTGGCTTCAAACTCCAAATCAGCTGATTGTGCACACACGTGTCTGATCAGCAGCTACTTAAACTGATACACCTACAGAGCTAATGAAATGATTTAGCATCTAACCAGAAGTGCAGGAATATAGTTTTATAAGTGCAGTTATATTATCAAAGCTATATCTTACAATATGTATAGTGGCGTTACAATATTCAGGATGTGTACATATAAAAAATGTGGACAGAGTTAGAGAATGGAGAGTGCAAATGCAAGGTTATATACAGGATGAACCAAATTTATGCATTTGCAGTGTATAAAAACGTATACATAGTAGGTTATAAAACCAGTGACCGAGTAATGCCTAGGTAGATGGTACGTGGCTCATTGATGCATGTGAAGGGGAGTGAAGGCTGGCCTGTGTGGTCCAATCCAACAGACAAGCTACTATAGGTCAAATTGCTGAAAAAATTAATGCAGGTTCTGATAGAAAGGTGTCAGAACACACAGTGCATCGCAGTTTGTTGTGGATGGGTGACCGTGTTGACCCTGCCCATTGCCGAAAGCATCTACAATGGGCACGTGAGCGTCAGAACTGGACCATGGAGCAATAGAAGACAGTTGCCTGGTCTTATAAATCCAGTTTTCTTTTACATCGCATGGGGTGCATGTGCATCACTTACCTGGGGAACACACGGCACCAGGATGCACTATGAGAAGAAAGCAAGCCGGCGGAGGCAGTGTGATACTTTGGGCAATGTTCTGCCATTGATGTCGATGTTACTTTGACACGTACCAACTATCTAAGCATTGTTGCAGACCATGTACACCCTTTCATGGAAACTGCATTCCCTTATGGCAGTGGCCTCTTTCAGCAGGATAATGCCACAAAGCAAAATGGTTCAAGAATGGTTTGAAGAACACAACAAAGTGTTGACTTGGCCTCCTCATTCCGCAGATCTCAGTCCAATCAAACATCTGTGGGATGTGCTGGACAAACAAGTCCATCCACTGGCCCCACTGTAACTTACAGGACTTAAAGGATCTGCTGCTAACATCTTGGTGCCAGATACCACAGCACACCTTCAGAGTCATTCTCTCCCTCCTCTCTATATCACTTGGTTTTGTTTGACAGTGGGTGTTTTTTTTCAATACATTTATTTTACTTTAAAGAGTCATGTGAGATCTTCATATTTTATCCTTCCTTTGAGCCGGGTCATGACAAAATGTGGGCTCGTCCAGTCAGATTCTGGTAGTTTCACATTAAGGGATTTTCTTCATTGTGAAGGAGACTCATGATTGACTGTCTTAATGAAGAATCACTCTTATAACTCATAGAAACGCCTGTAGCCACATAAAACTGCAGACGTTTGCTATGCTTGACTTTGTTGTCATACTACGTGTCCTCAGGGGCTGATCTGAAGACCATTATGAACCAGCTGTGCTGCTGCAAGCCAATGTGCAGGCCTATTGCAAAGTGCTGTCTAGTGGTCGACCAATATGGGATTTTCAATTGCCAATACCAATATTTAGAAAGCAGAGCGGCCGATAGCGATACATATTGCAAATATCAAAACAAAGAAAAGTCATGTATAATTATATATTTCCATGCAGAGTACAATCTAATGTAAATTTTATCTTAGCCAGTAATGTGTTGTTTTAGATGGACTTTTGATTAATTAAGGCATGCATTGGGTAATGCTGTAGATTTCAGAACATTACTGTTGTTTAAGGGAGAGCGGGGTGCAATTTTTCAGAAGTGACATCATTCAAATGCATTGTTCTCCACGGTATAACAATATATATTTAATGCTAGCCAGTAATGGTTTTAGATTAGAGCTGCTGTCAAATAGCAAATGCAGCACACTGCTACATTAGACATACAAGACAGAGACCAGTGAGCTGGGGGGTTGGGACAGGCTGTAAGCCTGAGGGTGCTAGCTCTCTTCTCCTCTTCTTCCACAGGGAAGAAGAAAGCATCTACAGCCTTCTCCTATCTGATCACTCTGCAGTCTACAACTTTAATATGCCCAAGCTTCCATCTTCAGCTGACGTGCCACATTACTTAAGTTCATCTTCCAGTTTGTTTTCAGATATTACCTAAGTCTAATGTTTTCTGAAATACACAATTTAAACAATTTAAACAAAATACCATATAAAACCAAATGCTATATTAATCTATTAGCATGAACTCTTGTTACAGCCTAGCCTGGTCAGGCCTTCCCCATGGCTCCCCCCTCGTATGCTCTCTTGTTTTATAGGTCTCCCCCTGCAGGTAGTAAGTGGTTGTGTTGTGTCCCGGGTTGCCTTGATACCGTCCCACAGCTCGGTGTGGGGTAAGGAATGCTGCCATCTCCACCTTGGATGGCGCCTTCTTGCTTCACCAGCACTCTGCAGATATGTTTTTTTTTAAATGTGACCTCCCGTTAAAGTTACTATACCGTGAGCCAGGTGTAACACGCTTTAAGTATAAACGTCAGCTAAACACAAATATGTAATACTGTTCTAAAGCGGAAAATGCTGCAGTGTTTAAGAAGCCACTTTATAAACATGTCTGAATAAGTTTTAGAACCACTTTGTTATATTTGATATGGTCGGACAACTAACCTCTCATTTTGATAAATAACTTGCAACTGTAGCCACAAGTGAATTTAGAAACTACAACATAGCAAGTATGAAACAGATTGGAAGTGACTGAAAAGATTTGAAAAATGCATGACCTTAAAACCATGAGCTCTGAGCTCACAAAGAGCCCACACAGACCACTTTGCATTATCAGAAGCTATTAAAATTTTGTATTAGAGGAGTGAATACCTGTCTTCTTCAGGGACAGTTGAGTGCAGCCACATCCACACAAAGAGTATCTTAAAAGACAAGGTAACGTGATCATGTTCTCGGGCCAATCCATATTTGATCCTTTGTAAACAGTTCAATTCACAATAATCTTACAATGACTAGAGATAATTAGCTAAGTACAGCCTTTGTGCACACCTGAGACAACCAAATACATTTATTATTGGTGATATTATTGTGATAGATGGGTTGAAATTGTGCGTAGGTTGTCTTTCATAGAGGATCAGGCAACTTGGGTGAAGTCAGACAAATGTCCATAATTTGGGTCCTGAAGTTTGAGGGCCATGCAAATGACAGGAGTTTCTCTGGAGAAACAAGACGGGAGGTGGGCTTGAAATACGGAAGAAAAACTGGAGAACACTGTGTTTGCATGGCATTTTACTCCAGGCTTAAATACCTGTGTCCAAGATGTGTGTTGATATTTCAGAATTAATTTACACCTATTGTATCATGTAACACTATCAAACGGTATTATCAGTTACTGTGGTATTTAATTTGATCCTTCTCACTGTGTCTCTGTGAAGCACTTTGTACTTTGCTTTGATAAGTGGTCTATAAATAAAGATTATTACACTGAACAAAATTATAAACACAACACTTTTGTTTTTGCCCCAATTCATCATGAGATGAACTCAAAGATCTAAGACTTTCTCTATGTACACAAAAGGAAATATTGTTCACAAACCTGTCAAAATCTGTGTTAGTGAGCTCCTTTGCTGAGATAATCCATCCAGAGTTTCCCACCCTGAGTGTAACGTCAGCAGAAAATGGCTGCCGTGTGAATATGTAATAATAATGCTACGTGAATGTGCTCCTATGATTCTTCTTTACCACTTTGATAAGCAATGTACAATCCTGAGTCAAATTCCTCTTATGTGTACACATACGTGGCAAATAAAGCTGATTCTGAGAAATAGTCCACTGTTTCGAAAAACAAGACGTGGCTTTTAGTGGCTGCTGTTCTTGTAGCAGTCAAAAAGCTCAGTCAAGATGTTCTGATCAATGTTTTGCTTCTGTTCCTGATTTCTTTGCAAATACAACATATTGATGTAATTGTTTTATTTTTTATATTATACATACAGTAATACAGCTAAGCAAGTAGCAAAAAACTATAACTATATAAATGTCTGCCAGCCGAGAATCTCTGCTTCAAAAAATACAACATGCACCACTTGTTTTGTGTTTTTAGTGTCCTATAGTAGCCTACCTTCTATCATTTCTGTGGAGGAGTGTCAGTCTGAAGCAGATTTAGACAACCTGCAAAATGTTGCTGATGAAGCTACCCTTTGTCACCCTAAAGTTGTTGTATAGCAACAGTTTTTTGTGAAAATTTGAAAATTATTTTCTCAGTTGAGATAGTTGCCCCACTTGCCCCACCGTAGTACTAATGTTTCCAACAGCACCTAAAGGCAGCGCATTGAATAATGTCTCACATAAACACTTTAAAACACCTAAGAAATGACTTCTAATCTGCCAATCAGGTGAAATTAGCAGGATGTGACACGTGCATTAATGTATTAATACAGTGCATATAATGTGGCAACATGTTATTTTAATTATACTCCCATAATCAATTTCAACTTCAATTTCTTGATCAGTTTTAGAGCTTCACCCCTTTCATTTAGTTGCTAGACTGTCAGTCTCTCTTTAAAGTGAAAAAAATCCACCCATTTCCTTTTACCTTTATGGACAAAGTGGGATATAAGTCTGATCAGTGATTGACACTACGGCTGAATATGAAGGCATCCACAATAAAAAGTCAAGGACAAGGTGAAAGACAACAACAACAAAAAAGGTTTTTATTTAGAAATTCACAGTTTCTAATGGCACTACAGTTTTGTAGTAACTCACTCCTGCTCAAAGGTACTGTGCAGCTCTTCAGAGTAATCACAGAGAGGGAGAGGAAAAGAAAAGATAGAACTTGACATATAAAGTAGAAAAACAAAAAAAAAAGGCATGAGGAGTCGTACAAAGTGCACACTGAGCTCCTAGAATTTCTCTGAGGGCATTCTCTCTATTCGCTGTGTTACGGGATAAGTAGATTCAAAGTAGTCTTTCTCATAACACAGACGCACACGCGCGCACACACACACACGAGATCAACACCACCACCACAAAATGCTCACATGCACACAGTTTTACACACACAAACATAAGATCGTACACATTCAAAAAGGGGGGGGGGAAAAAACAATAAATTTGTTCAGCTTGTGAAAAATACAGAGTCACATTGATAGTGTTCCAAATCATACCAATCTTTGCTGCGTTCCCTTTATTCAATAACAGTTCATATTCTTCTTCTCACAAACCGCGAATGTCATTCAAGGCGGGGCGAACACGTAAAGTCGAGGAGCAATGACGACAAGTGAATAAAAGAGTGTACAGTGAGAGTGAGAAGCACAGCAAGATCAGCTAGTCAGGAAAGCAGGTGTGTAGACTGAGCTTTTATCAGTGTTTAAGCTCATAATGGGAACATATTAGAGTGGTTAATAAAAAGCAGGCATATTGAAACTTTTCTTCAGTCACAGAAAGTTGTACAATGGTGGAGGGGGGTGGGTGGTCAGAGGTGACCTTGGTGGATAAAGACATGTAAAGAGAAAGAGGAGCTGGTCAGAAGAGGTAATGACGCACTTTTGGAAGAGTTTGCAGAAAATTCTGTCAAAATGTACACAAGTCCAACCACGCAGAGCCAGTCAGAATCAGCATACATAAGAAAATCATGCATTTTTATTTTTATTAATATTTAAAAAACAAACAAAAAAGATACCCCTTTTCACATCTGCAACTCACTACAGTGTTAAAACATTAAACTGAATGTTTATGTTGGTCAGTCATGAAATCATTAACTGGGTTAAGTTAAATTAGGTTTGTTAATGATCCAGAAAAGATGCTGAGACAAGCACACTGAAGACAAAATAATAAACCCTCGGTTTAGCCTTTTAACCAGCCAGCAGCTCTAAACAAATACAAACGCAGCAGTGTGATAACGCTAAGAAGACTGGTTTTCGAAAATTAATACTCTATTATCTTGTTGGACATATAAGCCGAACATGTGACTGCTATCATATATGTCGGATATTTCAGGCTGAGACAAACAGAATTAGGGGCTGTTATAATGTCAGAGCATAAGCTTAAAAAACAACAGCAACAACAAAAACAAAACATCCACGGTTGAGCTATCCACCATAGTCATGTGTAAGTGCGGTTGAGTGTATTGCACTATAATATTTCTATATAACATACATGGATAAACTACTTTGACACTTCAGGGTTGGGAGACTGGCAAGCTAGCGCCTAGGTTAGAAACATCTGTAGTCATTTAAATAAATAAATAGATAAATAAAACCGGTCTGTCGGGACTCGGCTGTAGGGTCCCAGTAGATCCTACTATGTGTGTGGGTGTGTGTGTAAACATTCAGCTTTGCCACCCAATGTGCTCCTACTGCACACTGTACCCTGAACAGACAACTTATGCCTCCATACTGGCTGTGAGAACAAACCACACCAGCAATGATAAGAGAGGAGCATGGCTCAGTTATGGATGAAAGAAATAATAAAACATAACAGAAAAAGACAACAACAAGACCCTACGGCTTACCTCTAGCCTGTTTGAACTCATTTTTACTTTCCTCGCAGTCACACTGTCTACTGCATCAGTGCAATTCCCCTTTATTTGGTGTGTGTGTGTGTGTGTGTTAACTTTCAGGACCAGCCCAAACTAAGTGAGTTCATGACATTTCATTGTGAACTAGTAGGATCTACAAACTGCTGCGACTGTATTTGTAATATGAGATGAAATGCGATACTAAACTGAGAGGACGAACACATTCAGACTAATTCACTGCATGCAAAAAAAAAAAATAATAGATGTTCTTCATTCAGCTTTGGCGGTTGGTTTGGAACAGACTGACAGAGACAGAGGAAGAGAGAGTCTGGTGTACAAAGAAAGATGAACACTCTGGTCCCATATGAACACCTGCACTCATGTTAGGATGCAATGCAATGACAGAATGGAGAAAATGATGGACATAGATGACAGGAGGAAATAAGGATATGAGAAATAGTTTGTCACGCTCCATGGTTCTCTCACAACGTCACATTTCATCCAAAACAAAAAAACAAAGAAACAAAAAAAAAAGCAGCCTAATACTTTGTGATGTTCCCGTAGGTGATGGAACGTAGAGTTGAGGCCAGCGCCTCTCCTCTCTGTGCTCAGAGTGGGGGTGAAAACTCACTGGCACTCAACTGTCACACGACAATGTGCTTATCCAGTAGAAAACACTTAAATGGATTTGACTTGTGTTCATGTCTCACTCCCCACCGGTGTCTCTCTCTGTCCACACCAACGATTCTTTAAATATCATTTTTTTAGCATTGAAAGATCTACAACAGATATAAAGGCACATAACCGTAAACAGGTCTTTGACAGGAGTGGATAAGGACTGGATTATGTTGAGCTACTGCTGCCATAGCCACTTCAGTTCCACGGTGCGCCTGGGTGCTCATGGGAAAATGTGGTTCTTTGGGATGCAGTCAGTAACACCTCATCTCCTTACTATGCAAGTCTGCTACTATATAAGTGTGTGTGTGTGTGTGTGTGTGTGTGTGTGTGTGTGTGTGTGAGAATGTGTGTGTGGGGGGTGTAAGAGTGACGTGAGTATTCAGACATGTTGGGCTGTCACCCCCGATGGTCCCTACACTGATCTCCTTGTTTCCCTTCATTAGCTGCTGCAGGCTGGGCAGAGAGCTGACGCCACCCCCCGCCATGGAAGGGAACGGCAGCTCTGTCTGCCGCGACCGCCGCCGCTTCGTCGAGCGCTTCTCCTGGCGGGACTTGGTAGGGGGCTGCCGGAGGGGGAAAGGCAGGCTGTATCCGTTGCACAGGCCAGCGGAGGGGAGGATTGGAGAGGGAGGGGGGAGGCGGCTTGTGTAGGACTCCTCAGAGTGGGTGGACGAGCTGCAGCTGCTGGTCTCCGAGGGGAACTCCTTGGAAGTGTACGTGGGCAGTGATGACACCTCCTCTGAAGGTTGAGGGGGAGGCGGTGGGAGAGAAGGAGAAGGAAGAGGAGGAGGGGGAGGAGGAGGAGGAGGAGGTGGTGGTGGTGGCTCAGGGAGACACGGTGTGAACCCGTTGCACTTTGGACCCCCGTTTGTGAGTGGAGCAGAGGGATCAGATGCCTTCAGAATCTCAACCTTGTCCAACGACTTTGTCTTGCAGCGCTTTTTCTACAGGAAACACACAAGACGAGAGAAGAGAATGATTAAAAAAACATTGACAGAAAGCAAAGATACATCTAATAATGTAAAGCCATATTAACCACTTATGTGCAAGACACCGAAGTCACACAGATGGACCAAAGAAGGATGGGAAAGTTAAATAGGGAATGATGCAATCTAGGATTTGGAAAAAAAAAAAAAATATATATATATATATATATATATATATATATATATAAAAAACTACCTATCCATAAGTAATTACATCTGATGATAGTACAGTACACCAAGCTTTACTCACTTCAATGAAGGTTTTCATACAAATACATGGTATACTGGAGAAGAGTTGTGACATGTTTTAATTTCGAGGGACTTGTATTTAAGTTTTCAAAGTCAGAAAATCTGCCCAGTGTCGGCAAAGAAGTGGTTAGCAGGTATTTGGAGTGGGCTGAATCTTCAGCTGCTCCCCTTATCTTGGTTACTCCACTGAGATCAGAAACGAGTGACTGACGAGGAACTCATGCCCTGCTCTAACACACTTAGGGTACAGACTTGACAGTAGAAAACACACAGCACTGAAAGTACGGCGGCCGTCACAGCCAACAGCAGCAGTTGGAACAGACACTGTACCTTTTTCTCTGGAGAAAACCTTAGAGGTTCTACAATGTACAAGTCATCTGGACCTACTGGGGAGGGGAGAGAGGGGCCAGGTTAATGATGGAATGGGAAACAGGAATACATACATGTAACAAGCATGAAGTGACCTTGCAAGTAGTTTTATTCAAGATGCAATGGCAGAACAAAATCCATATTCTAATCGTGGCTTCATGTCTGTAGAGAAGCTAATACAAGTCATTTGACTAGAACTATAATCTACGGTTAAGCTACAATTGCAGAAAAAGCACTTTATTATTATTTACTACTTGCAAATGTCTATCATGAGCCAGCAAAGCATCATGCTCTATTATTATACTCCTTAAGCCTGCATGTGGGCACAAGCTGGCAATGACAGCTTCTCAGCCTCAAGGGTAAACTCTCACACAGATACACGCGCACACACACACACACACACACACACACACACACACACACACACACACACACAGCTGAGGGATAATGAACAGCAGGGCGAGTTTTAGGTTTCATGAGTCAAAGACTTTATTCTTTTGTTGCTTGCACAAGCCTCTCCCTTGTGACTTGTGTTGCTCGAGGCACTGGCTGCACAAGGGATATCGGTCACTAAGCACGGCAACATGTGTAAGAGGAAACAGCAGAGATATAGACAGAATGAGGGTTGGAAAGAAGAATGAAGAAAGACTAATGTATGAATAGTAATTGGATGTGGACAGTAAGAGCTGCAGCAGTCTGATGCAACTAGGCTGAAAAGGTCTACTGTAGCAATACCATGGTCTGCAGTGAGCTATGACTGTATAAATGTTGCTTATGTTTCAATGATTAAAAGGCAGAGGGAGAAACACAAATAGAAAAACAGAGAGCAGGTCTGAGGAGACTTGTGTGTGTGTGTGTGTGTGTGTTTAGGAGAAGGGGCTCTTACCTTCTGTAGATGACAAGTGGAATGACTTGGAGCGAACAAGCGGACAGGTCACCCTGCGCTTTAGGCTCATATCATCATAAGAGGAGAAGCATCTGACAGGAGAAAAATGATACTGATATTTGTAAAGTGTTTACATTGTCAGCTTCCTAACAGTTAGTGGCAGGACAGGAGTGACAACAATAAGCAAACAGGTAACAAAAGGATCCAAAAAAACAACACGGTCATGGATTTCCTCTGACATGTTCTATTCAAAAGCAGCATCCCAAAACTGGGTGTAGGGCATCATAATGACAGATATGACAGAAGGCTGTAATGACAGCTATTCATCTATCGTGAGAGAGAGAGAGCGAGAGAGAGAGTGCGAGAGAGAGAGAGAGAGCGAGAGAGAGTGCGAGAGAGTGCGAGAGAGTGCAAGAGAGTGCAAGAGAGTGCAAGAGAGTGCAAGAGAGTGCAAGAGTGTTCAAACCTCTTGGGGCTGGGGTAGTGGTTGCTCTTGGGAAGGGCAGCCGTGCTGATGTTGGGGCTGGGAGAGGAGCTGCGGCAGCACTGCAAACACAGCAGGAGGCCCAGAAACAGACACAGAACCAGAGAGACCACCAGGTAGCTCTGACGGTCAGATACCTGTACAGAAGAAGTGAGAAATGCGGTACAAGTCTGAAAAACACATACATTTAAAAACATAAAAATTTTGTACACACATATAAATGCCCCTCTCCTTGGAGGCTTTTGGGTATTACATCTATAGAAATGTATTCCCAGCTGTGTCTGCTCACGTGCTTTTAGCTTTCATAAACCTGTATGTAATCCATATAGGCACATGCCCTCTTGTCAGAGGCAGTAGACACTCTCAGCCAAAGCAGTTGTACTCTAACTGTATCCTCTCAAAAGTCAGCCAATGAACATGGAAAGTTTAAAGGTTTGGGGAGTTGACAGCCAATTCTGGGAATAACATACAGAAATATTTTTGTGAGTGTCCTCATGCCCTCTCTTAATGGCGTCTCTCTTGCTCACAGCAGTATCACCAACTGCTTATCAACTACTGCTGAACAAACCTTTGTTTTATCTCATGTCCTAGTTAACAGAGGAGCGTCAAATATTAAAATAGGAGTAACATACTTGCCATAATTAGTATAATCTATCCATGTTCGTTCTTTCAGCTATCATCTTTTCAGTATTTCCCTGTTCAACTTCACAAATGTGCTGTGCTGCCTCATTTCCATTTGATGTGTTCAATATCAGCAACACCTTGTTGTTGAGATCATTAAGCATTCCAAGCAGAAAACTGTGTTGTTTAATGTTTCTGACTATGGTTTGTGTTAGGCACTGAGCATAAACAAATGCAGCAGAGAAAAGTCTGTTTGATGAACAGTGGCATGCTCCAACAACACATCCTGTATGCAGGAAGAAATAAAAATCACTAAACTGAACACTGTGCACAAATTATTTGCTTGGTTTCATATTACACTGTTAGTCAGCTCTCAAAATTTATGCGATAAACAGATATTATTTCTGAACTGGTTGACAGATGTCAGTGTCAATCTGTCATCACAATGTAAGCAGCAGGCAAAACAATAGCAATCAACGATAGAAGTATCTTACCTCTCTCTGCAGCTGGCTGACTGTAGCGGTGAGATTGAGCATCAGTTTTGTGACATTCTCCAGCTGGCTCTGCAGGACCTGGATGGAATCCGTCTGCTTCTGGTCCTGAAAAGCACATCAGTTAGTCTTTACAATCACACACACACACACACACACACACACACGTTTATGCTTTATTTTCTCTTGCTCTGGTCGCATTCATGTAAACTAACCTGCTCCTCAGCAATGCGGGAGGTGTTCTGCAGTTTGATGATGGTCTTATTGAACGCTCTCTGCATCTCTTCCATCTGTTTACGGTATCTGAGCAACACAATTACAAAAATAACAACTCATAACCACGGTATAAAGGCACTAGGGATGTAGTGATTACCGGATTTTACTGTTAACCGTGCTTTAAAACGTCGCGGTTCATTAATCATAAAGACTCCGCTACACCGCGTTTCTGTTGCACAAAACAAAAACAAAGTTACACGAGCGGTGCACCAGTTTAAAGAGTTGTGCTTATCAGAAACATGGAGGCTACTATGGTTCACTAGCTAAACTATGGCATAGGGACCAAACTGTGAAAGGTTACACCTGCTTTGTTTGTTTACGTTGCACTGAAAGCCCAATTCTCACCCCGAATTGCCTCTGGTGGCTGTTCCACCAGCGTGTGAATGTTAGTTTCTGTTTGAGCACTTAGGCTCAGTGTATGAATGTGCGTAAATGGTGAATGCGATGTAGTGTAAAAGCGCTTTGAGTGGTCGAAAAGACTAGAAAGGCGCTACACAAATATGGAGCATTTACATTTAAATAACGCCCCGGTCAGACCTGAAATTCTCCCACACTGCCGACTTCAGCCATTTCTTTGGTGGAAAAAAAGCTTCTGACCCACCGCCAAAACAGCACCCCTGTGCTAGGGGACACATTATTTTCAATGGCTTGCACCGCGCCAGGGCAGTTTGTTGCCGCGGCGAGCAACGCGCACTGCGTGGCGAGCTCGCACGCATGTTGCAGTCAAAGTAGTTGAACTTTTGCACTGAGCAGCTTCCAGCGCAGAACAAATTGCTTCTTTTCTGAAAGGTCTTTTATGGAAGAATGTAGTCTTCAAGACTTTTAGTCACTGAACATTTAATGTTACATCCTGTTGCCTCCTCCTGTCTGTGTTGAGAAAATGTTGCCAGGTGTAAAACACTAACATTATCCAATTAACTGCATTTCAGTCATTAATTATAACGCTGCATAAGAGATGTTCTCAATCATTTTCACTAAAACATATACGTATGGATGAGTGTTGATGACATAACAGTTCAGTTTATTTTCCCTGTGGGATAAATTAAGTTAATATTCCTCTTATATTAATAATATTTACATATTATAGAAATATAATTTTTTATGTAATTAAAATATTAAAAATCAGCTTAATTACTAGTGTTGTGAAATTAATTAATGCATTGTGAAACCGTGATTATTCCTCAGACTATAATCGTACCGACACAATCTGTAATCGTTGCATCCCTAAATGGCACTGGTCATATCAGTCTAATAAGCAATCAAAAAACAAGTTTGAAAGAAGTTATATCATTCTAAGGCTTATTGTGTCCAGCGGTTTACCTCTGGCTGAGCTCCTCCAGGTATCTGCTGGACAGACTCATGTTCATCTCCAGGGCTTTGATCCTGTTGTTCAGCCTCATAAACACGCTCTCCTTCTGGCTGGATCCGTGCACCGCTCCTCCGTTCAATAACACGCTGTTCCCACTCACTGGGCCCCCATTATAATCTCCTCCATTCTGCAACTCTGCATAAAAGTCTGTAGCTGTTCGGTGGACGTTGCCATTCCCATTAGTGCTTAGCAGGTCCTCGTCCACCGTGTCTTCCACGCGATGGGGCTCTCCAGTCTGAGTGAGAGAGTCCCCCTGTTCCCCGTGAGTCTGAGATGCCTGGACACTGTGTCTCTGTGAGTCCCCACTGTCTGTGCTCGACTGTACTGGGTCTGTGTCGGTCAGTGGGAGAGCTGTTGGCAGTTCAGTCGGAGGGGGGATGAGGTCTTCAGGCCTTGATGCGGTGGGAAGAGGCTGAACAGGCTGCTCCTTAACAGGGGAAACCACAACAGCAAGAGAAGCCGTCTCAGAGGCTACAGGTTGTGGGGGCAAGTTGACTGTAAGGGTGGGGGTGGCACTGCTGGCCAGTTGCGTCTCGGGGATTGAGACGGCTTGGAGTGGTGGAGTGGGGACAGGGTCCAGGGCTGCATCTTTAATGGGAGGATGCAGCCTCTTCTCGTGCGTGGGGGTAGGCCATGTCTGGGAACTATGGATGTCTGAGAAACTGTGAGGGGGGATGGTGGAGGTTCTACTTGGTTCTAGGAGAATCTTCAGCTCTGGAGTGTGTGCGTCAGGGGTGTCAGTGTTGGGATATATGGTGTGCACCTCGGCCAAGTTTTTGCCCTCGTCTTGGCCCTTGACAGGCACCTCGGGCTCGGGAGCTTTTTCTGTGAGTGGGAGGGCTTCTTTGAGAGGTGTGGGGACAGGGGCAGGGATCAGTGGGGGTGTGGGTGTGGGGGAAGGGGTATGTTTCTCCGTCTGTGTTTGAATGCTCAGCTGCCTCCGCCTAAGGCTGCGGAGTCTCTCCTTGGCCAGCCTGGCGGAGCACCAGCGATGGAGCAGCTCCGGCAGCGTGGCCATGCAGGACAGAGACAGGGAAGAGAAGGAGGAGAAAGGACAGTACGTCTGGTTCTCCCACTTGTTCCTGTCGGCCTCCCTCTTCGTTGTCGTCTCCTCCTCTCTCTTCTCTTCCTCTTCCTCTCCTTCCTCCTCCATCAGGGTGACCGTAGACTGTCTGGGCTCCTCCTCCTCTTCCTCCTCTACCAGAGTGACAATCTGTCTGTCCTCCTGGGAGTCAGGTGATGGGGGAGGAGGTGTGGAGACATCAGAGTCCTCCTGAGTAGGACGGTGTTCTGACTCTGCAGGCTCCAGTCTGGAGGAAAGACAGAGATACAAATTTAGAAGCATATTATCAGAACTTCTGTTTATTTTGGAGAGAAAAATGATGCCAAACTCATTGTTGTCATTTAGATCAATTCACATTCATATAGGGCTGTACATAACGATTATTTTTCAAGTCTATTAATCTAACGATAATTTTTTCGATAAGTCGATTCATCTTACGACTAATTTTGTGTATTCTAAAGGGAAAAAAGTTGCCCATTACTCAATTAACATACAGAATTTATCCAAAATCAATCAAAAATTTAATACTTTAGTCAGTCATCCTGATGAAGCACGTTCATCAGTAATGACAAGAGTAACACATCTTAAAATTAATCTAATTTCCACGTCACTGATGTGTTGTGATAATAACAATAACAGACATTAATTAAGATACTTTACTTAAAACTTTTAATGTTTCTGACATGGATTTATTTCAATATTGAGTAATGCAGTATGATAATCAACTGTATTTCTGCATCAGTGTGGGGCAAAGAAAACTGAAACGATTTACATACTGTACAGACAGACAGTCACAGATTGTCTGTAATATTACTTTTAGCTGTTTTCTCGCTCATACGTGGCCGTGAAATAAACAGAAAATATGAAACGGTCGAATGTTATAAAGTGGTATAAACTGGTATTACTATTAGTTATAAAACATTAAATCAAAAGTTCATAATGACTTGTGAATTTTGCTATAGCGCCTAATGCATGCTTGTAAGTGATTATAACAACTGTTATGGAAGCTTTATATCGTGTTATAAATATATGCATAAGTCATTATAGCGATTACATTTTAACATGAAGGTGATAAAGAAATACTTAAAATAAATTTTAACGAACTACGTGTCCTTGTGCTGATAATGTGCCGTGCTTGTGTGGGATCCATTTGCTTCACGTGTTCAGTTGTGCTGCATGAAGCTATTCCCAGTTCACAGAGCTCATAGAGCAGCATGTTGTTGAGTGTCTGTCTAAAATACTGCCAAACTTTAGATGGTCAAAGGTGTTGTCTTGTAGCTGGACCTTGTCAGGGGGAATCCCTGCTAACATTGGATGCAGCAACGCTTCGACGCACGTAATGTGAGTCGACGTATTTACGTAATCGATTTCATTGACTATGTTGATGAATTGCTCCAGCCCTACATTGATAATGGTTTATTGGTCTTTAATTTGTACACTGTGACTTACACTGCAGAGTCATGAGGTGTTTCAGCTGGTTTGGGTGTAACTTCTGTGCTTCCCTTCTTTTCATTCTCTTCTGTTGTTACATTAGCTAGCATTTGGACAAAAACAAGAATATTAAAATACTCAGAACATGACTTGAAAACACTGTTACTGTTCCACATAACTTGGCAGTTGCTGGCTTCTCCCCAACCCCATGTGGCTGTAGGAGTGTAGAACAGAAACCCTTTTCGTTGCACAGTGTGGCTGGCAAGTCCATGTTTGGGAAAGTCAGAAATACTGTGAACCAGTCTAGTCCAGTTAGAACTGATCTCTCTCTCACACTCTCTCTCTTCCCTGCTTACTCAGCGGGGGTAAATGGAAATCAGAACCTTAACTTTAAAGAGCAGCAGTGAAAGAGATGCTTTTTAGATATTCTTCTCCGACAGAGGTAGAAGTTCTGCCACTAACTGGAAGCTTGACTTTAGGGACTCCCATTTAGATGAAATGATAATTTTTGTGGCAGTTCATAATAAAAAACTGTATATAATAGTGTTTGAGTGTTCTCAGCTTTTACAAAGTTTTCCCTTTAATTCGATGCCGCAGGGAAAAAGCTGAGCAAGACAGTCTTTTTGAATCAACTCTTTGTGGGGTAAACAGGGCGAGGAACGTCATAGGCCCACTCAGTCTAAATCCATCTATGCTCCTCTACCAAGAAGTAAAAGACAAACAGCCAAAGTTCTGCTGAAATGCTCCTGGAGACCTCATGCCAAAAGCCCCCAAAAAAACACCCATCTGGATCTCTCTGGTACACACACACACACACACACACACACTCTCAAGGCTATGCATATGCTCACACTTCAGAGAAGGAAATAAAGTGTCCCAGTTTTCTAAGCAGTTAATCTAAACAATATGTGAGAAGACAGGCATGCAGGCAGTTAGAGAAAGAGAAAGGGAGAAAAGGGGCAGAAAAGTTTGAGTATGAGCAGTGTGCAGGAAAAGAGGGGCAGTATGGTAGTTTCTGGCATTTCCATTCATGTTTTCATGTGCATAAAGTAAATGTTTAAAAAAAACACATTAATGACAAGGTATGCTAGGTATACTGATCGGAAGTGACAGTGAGTAGTACGTAATGGCAACAAAACTGGATGGGTGACTCATGCTAAACAATCTTTTATTTATTTTTTTTAAGAGAGCTGATCAGTGGTTTCTATATGGATAAACCAGTTTTACGTCTTATTACCCTGTGACAAGGTGCGGTTGCTCAAAGAGAGTAAAAGCAAACGAATGCTAGGCCCTTGCGTTTCAAATAAAAAAAATCTATATAGAGAGGCTAGGTCAGTAAACTAATGTTTGCACAGATGAAACTAACATTTACGTGAGGCCAATATCTTGTAATCACTACTATGCTAAGTCAAAATTAGTGCAGCCCACAAACACAGCTCTGGAGACATCTCTTCCCACATTACAATGATTTGGAAAATCAGAAAATTGGGCTCAAGAGAGTTGTGGACATGAAAGGTGATGCAGAATGGAAAAAAGTAACAGGAAGCACGAAATGTGTGAGGGATGAGTACCTCCTGTTTCTGTTGCACCCTCCAGCTCTGGCTTGCCGCCCAGCACATTAGCAGCAATGTTGTTTACCATGTTAAGGATGGCATCTAAAAAGTAAAAGGAGACACACACGTTATTTTAAAGTTCCTGTAAATAAGTTGACAGCCAGCAGCCTTCAGCCAAACATGACTCAATGAAACCACAGGCTTAGGCATTTCTTGTTCCATTTTCCCTACTCCCCCCCTCTGCTACTATGAACTGCTTCAACATTATTTTACTTTTCTGTCCTAAAATTTATTTTCCAGCTTTTCCTTCAGTCCCTATTCTCTCTCGTTCAGTTCCCCTCCAAGCGAGGCCTCTAAAAGAAAAAGCGTAGGATTTCTCTCTTTTCATGGTTTTATGGTTTAAGCCCTTAAGATGTGTTTGTATAATATTCCTGTGTGCGGCTACACCAGTCCTCCCTTTGCTAAATCAGGAGACAGAAGGGCACCAGTGTGTTTGCGCATGTGTGTGAGGTTTAAAAAAAAAAAAAAAAAAAAAAAAAAAAAATTGTGTAAGCTGCAAAATCTCTGCAACCCATACCCTAGTCAACATCTATGTGTGATGCCAAGAAGGTTAACATACTGAGGAATCTTAATTATAGTTTATTCAGTTATCTAAGGAAAATAATGACTACCTAAACCACACAATCAATCTTATCTTTTGTTGATTTCATCTATATTGTTGTAGTCTAGTTGCTGTCAATTAGTCTTTGTTAATGTAGATGTATATATGTGTATGCGTGCGTGTGTGTGCGTGCGTGCGTGTATACATACTGGTTGCTGAGCCAAGCAGGTTTTTAGAGGCCTTGTCCTCTGATGGTTGGTAGCCAGGTGGATAGTCTGAAGAAAAGGACGTACAGGTAATATTTAGCAAAATACATACCTCCACTTAAACATTTTCATTTGAATCATCTTCTTCTGCTAATTGAATGAAAATTGTCAATTTGCCACTGATGTTGAAAAAGAAGTAACAATTCCTATTCAATAATATAACAGATGATCATCTTACCATAGTCTTCATCCAAGTACTCCAGTCTTTCTGAAGGATACTGGGAATCAGAGATTTCCTCATACTCCTCCACCATGCTCGTACCAAACACCCTACACAAAAATCACACACAAATACTGTGTTACACAAACAAACCTACCTACAGAAAAGGATAAAGGTTGTTATCACTACACAGAAGAGGTGGCCAAATCTTTCTGGGGAAATGCAGCTTTTAAAAAAAAAAAATGTATAAAATAACCTGCTGCTCAAAGCAGGTTTGAAGAAAACTAATGAAAATGATAATCCAGAGTTTCTTTACTGTAGAGAATCTACTTTGACCTTCTAGTAAACATGTGCAGGAGAGTTTAACAGCCTTTTAAACCCCAACAGCAGTTCCTTCAGGGTCATTCTCTGGAATCATTCTTCAGAAAAAAAGTGTGTATAGTACATTTTTAACAAGTATAAAGATCAAAGTCAAATGGCTTGTTGAAAAGTATTTTGTTGGTCTTGGCTAAATAAAGCAGTGTGTGGTTTTAAGTCCACACTCATCCAGTTTCCTGTTCTCTACCAGTGTTTCTATTTTCTTAACAAGAAAGGATAGTCACCTTAATGGTTCCTTCTAGGCTAAGCTGCTTTGTTTCATGTCAATTTTGGTTCAGCAAATCAAAAAGAGAGCCCTTGGAATTAAAAAGGGGAACTGGGAAGAGCTATTTACTATCATACCTGATGAGACTGAGTGGACAGAAGTGTTCTGATCCAAAGTGGGAGAGGAGTTCAACCTGCAGGGAAAATGATCAAACTGTTATATTGAAAATTTCATCCACAACTTCACAACATTCCCAATACCAATAATGTGCATGTGCCCAATTCTATAAACCCATAATCCACCAAACGCGTGAAAACTAGAATTGCCAAGCGTTGACAATATGGTTTGTGTGCATATTTCTACTTGTTTAAAATCTTTCACATGCACTAACAATGCCAAAGCTCACCCACTAAAGTGTTTGACCATTACAAGAATGCATTTTGTGTGAGTGCATCATAACCTCTGACGGAGAGAGAAGAGTGCCAACCTTTATGTACTTGATGAACATCTGATGCGAGAGGAAGACAGGAGAAGGACAGAAGGAGAGAGAAATAAAACAAGAGAAAGAAATCAGTAAAGACTGATGCAAGCTACAAGCAAGTCAGGCATTTGCTTACAGTCTGTCTCTCTCATAAGACAAACACACTGCTGCTGGTATAGGCTGGATCATTGTTCTATAACAGTCCACAGGCAAAATACCAGAAAGAGGTTTCTAACAAGCAGCTAGAAAGGAGCGCAAGGCGAGACAGAGGGACAGACAGGCAGACAGACAAGTAAAATATCAAAACAAGAAGTAACAGTATTCATCTGCTTAGATGAAAGTCGTAACCAAAGCACATAATCCTAAACTCTCTAGACCAAAATAAATTTAAAAAAAAAAATCAGTTTTATGTAATAGAAACAACCATTTCATAACAGAGAACATGAATCACAGTAAGCACCCACACATAACACCCACAACATAAAAAGGATAATCAGCCGAGCATTAATCAAGTGTTTAGTGAGCAACACCGAGGGTGGAAGTGTGAGGAGAGAGACCGTTCAGAAAAGCAAGATACTTATGATTTATTACATCTACACATATGCTAATGAATGTAGCCTAATGTTGTCTTAATGACAATAATATTTCTTTTCTGTGTAAAAAACTGAAGCAACAACTGAAACCTAGAAAGACCCGATACCCTGCACACAATTCATTTTCACTAAAAGACAGTTTTAGTCTTTTGCCAGGTAACACACTCAGCTTACAGGGAGGCAATGTGTGTGACTGAACCAAAAGAAAGAACAACTTTGCTTAGGCGCTTTCACACTGCCCAATTTTCCGGGAGTATTATGCCAATATAGTAGTAAAAACTTTATTTGTAAAGCACTTTCCAAAACCAAGTTACAAAGTGCTGTACAGTAAAACAAACATATTATTTCCTTAAAAATATAAATGAATTAAAATAACTTAAAAATCAACAATAAAATCAAAACTAAATAATATAATAACAGCAGTTATATAAAGTTTGTAAAAACTCCAAACGATAAAAGTGAGACTTAAGAGATTTAAAAACAGGCCACTGAGTTTGCCTGCCTCGGCACGGTCACCTTTAGTACAAGACGAGAAATTTGGAACCATTAGTAGAGCCCTGCCAGAGGATCTCAGGCATCGTTCCGGCTTGGAGGGAGTTATCAAATCACAGATGTAGGCAGGAGCCTGGCCGTTCAGGGCTTTAAACATAAGTAGTAAAATCTTAAAATTAATTCTCAAAACTCACAGGTAACCAGTGAAGGGCAGCGAGGATTGGTGTGATGTGGTCACTCCCCTTTGTGCGAGTTAAAAGCCTGGCTGTAGCATTTTGAATGAGCTGTAATCTATGAATATTTCCCTTACCAATATCAAAATACAGAGCATTGCAGTAGTTGTGTCTTGATGAAATAAAGGCATGGGGGGGGGGTGTTTACAGGCAGCGCTGATGGCATGGCTAACTTACCATGAAGTCATAAGTGGGTCCCCTGAGTCTGTGTGTGTGTATTTATCAACTAGGAACTGTAATATATAACTGGGAATGAATATATTAATTGTTTATCGTTACTTTCCTTGAGACAAGTGTACTATTAAAGCAGAAGGAAGAAAAACAAAACAAAACAGTACCTTCACATATTTAGCATAAAGCTGCTCATCCAGAGGGAAGCTCTGCACAATGCGCTCATCGCGTGCATGGAAAGTACCCAGTTTTACCCACTTGTTGGTAGGATATCTGCAGACAGAACAAGAGAAAAGTAAGATGTGTGTGATGGCTGCAGTGTGCTTAAGACTACATCTGGAATGTTCTCAAAGGCTGGGTACAAAGGCCACAGTACAACATGTGCTTCCATACCAGAGGATGGGATTTACAAGCTGTGGTGCGAGAGAACGATGGACAACGGACAACACCAGCTCTGGCAGCAAGCAGTAAAGTTAGAGCTGATAACACAGGAGGAAGATGATGATTTTAATCAGTCCTGCTCCTGGTATTTTTTTTTTTTTTTACATGGTGCTGTTTTGGAGGTGCATGTGTGCCAGCCAGTTTCATAATCTCCCAAAATAAGTGACCCCTTTTGTACTGAAAACCTTCTCCCAAAAAGCTATCATGATAAAAAAAATTATATTAAGAACTGAAATTTCAAATGCTACATGTTGTGCATTTTATTTTTATTTTTTTTTATCTCTCAGGTTTGCAATAATCCTTCCTCCCCATTTACTCAGTTAGAAATCAAAATGCAAGCAACAGTGCACTGTGAAGGACGCAACAAAAAAACTGGACAGGAGGCCTCCACATAGTCCAATGCAGGGCTTTTTGGCTGTCACAAAACCATCACAAGAACAAACCAATCAATCAATCAACCAACCCACTTAAACATACAAGAAACAAAGTATACCTGTCACTGATGGAGACTAAAAAGTCTTTAGGAGTTGATGAAAAGAGCTCGAAGTTAGCAATGTCCAGCTGCTTGACTTGAATAGGCTCACAGAGCTCTATCACAAACCTGGAGAGAGGCAAATAGAGAAGGTTTATTAAAAAATAAATTCATAAGAAACTTGCTAACATCAGACTCCATTCCTCCATTCCTGTAAGCTGTATGCCAGTAGTGCGTCAGTGCACTCACCAGATTTTGTTGCTGCAAGGATTTAGCATGTAAAGGTCCATATTCTCCATGAGAATAGCTGAAGTGCTCTGAATAAGAAGAGTGAGCAAATTAGCATCCACCATCATCAGATTTTGTTTCGTTTATTTCCTTATGTAACAGCCAACTGTAGTGAGTGAACACTGTTTTTCGTGGTAGACTAAACCTCTGTTCCCGGTTAGGTTTAAATGCTTATCTTAATTGTTAAAGCAACTTTAAAGCAGGTTTCAACCACCTGCTGATACAACTTGACAGGTCAACATCTGTTTACTTAGCGAGTGTATATGCTTGTGTGTAGGCAAACAGGGATGATTAGGATTCAACCTTGGCCTCATTGTTGGCAGAGAGTATCTTGGCACCACACTCCACAGAGGCATAGTTATTCTTGAAGTTTTTCTGGACCTTCTTCACTGGATGGGGGCTGCCGCTGGTTGAGGTATGGAGAGACTGACCTGGGCAGAGGGAGTGTTATATTAGAGCCCATTACAGACACTGGAAACAGAGTGTTGCCTGGGAGGAACAAGTCGAGGGCTTATGCAACACACATAAACACACGCTCCACTGACAACTGCACATGGCGTGCACAGGGAGAAAGAAAGAACAGAGATGTTGAGACAGAGACAGGAATAGAACACGAGGAAGGAAGCTAAAGAGAAAAGACAGAGGTCGACAATGAACAAGTAATAAGAAGGACAAAGAAGCAACAAGAGGAGACATAGATTAAAACTGACAAGCGAAGGCCCCCTTTGTCTGCAGAAGCAATGCTGCAAACTGCGCCTGGGCCTGTGTCACTGAGTGAGTTTAACATCATCAGGCAATATTTGAGTTACCCAGCTTTGCTAGACCAAAAGCCCTAAAGCAAGCCTAAACTTAAAACAGAACTTATTGGGACATTGCACTGTGGTGTCCATTTGTGCACATGCCTCAAAATGTGTGTTTTAATATTGTATGCTCTTACTTTTCTCCTTCTCCACCTCCATGACTTGTTTTTTCCACTCGTCGAAGGTGGGGATGTCTTCTTTACTGGGCACTGAGGGATCAGTCTCCCTCGCAATACTGGCATCCCCTTCCTGAAACACACAGACACACCAACCCCAACCCACAGTGTTATAAAACTGTATTTATCACAAACTAAAATCACCTAATCTGGCTATATCTTGATATGCAAGAGCACAGCTCATTGTAAATTAATACATTTTGCTAAATATGACTAACAAGGTTATTTGTATCTCGACATCAGTGATCCGCTTTATGAATTAGATGAATGACCAGCCACTAACACACACGCATAGTGCTCGGAGTCAAAAGACTCCCATCCACAGTTCAGGGCAGTCAGCTAGACCCTGGCCACTAAAGCATGCACTGAGCTGTGACTAATGTTTTGATGAATTATGTAAGCGCCCTTTTGGACGTCACAAGAGAGTCTGATCCTAAAAATCCACCAACTCAGACGGCCTCTTATGTAAACATCCTAATAGTTCCAGCAGCAGTCAAGTCATTGCTAGCCACGTACAGATTAGTCCGATTTTGGCTTCAAAACAGCCATATAATGTAATAATTACACAATGCACACAATTCCCCTGAAAATCAGTAAATTCTCCCCCAGATACACTTTTATGTCATGGCAAACGGCAGTGCTTGTAGAAGCAGCAGCCGATAGCTCCTTCTAACTTCGCTACACTTTTGTTTACATTTTTCAGCTTTACTGCTAAAACATGTGTCACCTATGACAGAAAAAACAAACCGTCATTGCAAAAAGAAGACAGGGTTTTTGGATTAAAGACCGGCACACCACGATCCAGCCAGCCCAATCCACTGGACAAGGCACCACGGCGGGTGTGGTGATCGCTCAGAGGAAAGAGAGCTAGGATAGGAGCCATGTTGGCCCAGCTTAGACTTAATGCTGCCCTAAAGGTCTGGTCTGGACAAAGTGGGACTCATGTTGGCCAAGCAATGGACATTGGAGACTGCTGTGCCTACATCTTTACAGAGACCTGCCCCATCAACATCCCGGATCAAGCGCTCAGCAGGTGGTCTGTGTTCCGAGCTGTCAGAGCAAGACTCTGGCAAGATGAGAGGAGATGGACTGTGTTTTTGTACATCGATGATGCTTGGTGCTGAAACGCAGTCAAGATGGACACCGTTTACCCAAATGTCAGACTTTGTGAAGATGAACCCATATTATCATCTTTGCTGCTGTTTACATTCTCCAAAGAAGCAAATTCAACAAATGCACTGCAGAATGTTCTGGCTGTATATGTGTATGTGCAGTATACAGCCTATTGTTTTATTTTATTTATTTTAAATGTTACTATATTTTAAGACACACTTAATTATCTGTTGTATTATGCATGTGTAGCATGAAGGGACTATAAACTCTATGTCTGTCTAATTAGGATCGAACTCTCAACTGAGGTGGGATTCACAAGAACCGAGAAAGTCCTGCATTTATGTAGTCCTCCGCACTGTTCTGCTAATGAAGAAAGCTCCTGCTTTTTAGTGCTGCACTGATCAATCGTTGCATTTGATATTTACTAAAAAGCTCTGGATGTTATAATTCATTAATAATACACAGACATGTACGACGTGAGAAATACTGCTGCTCGCCTGCTGTTCTTGTTGGTGTTGGGAAGTGTTGCCCTCCTGGTCCAAATCAGACAGCCCATCCTCCAGCTCCTGTTGTTGTTCCTGGTCCATATGGCCCGGAGTAGACTGGACTTCTGCTTCAGGACCGGAGCTGTGGCTCTGGTCGGAAAGCTGGTCCTCTGCGGCAGCCTCATCCACACTATAGTGTAGACATGTGGCCAATGAGGAGGAGGAGTTGGAGGGAAGAGAAGGAGATAGAGAGGGGAGGAATAAGGATAAAGAAGGGTGGAGAACCAAAATAAGCACTCAGCAACTCTGGACACAAGACACATAAAATATTCAATTTATTTTAAAGTATTGATAGCCCTTGGTTGTGAGCAGGCAAAATGATGGGAAAAGGAAATAAAATAAAAATGAAAAAGCAGAAGTAAGTGGACAGCAAGGCCAGCGGTCGACGGTTGCGCACAGCAGAGAGGTGTAGCTTGTGACTTGATTACTTGTCTCTGTGCTTTGATTGGCTTCCATGGGGTTAGAAACTCACCTGAGGAGAAGGCTGCCAAAAGGAGAGTTTTCACAGGTTGCCAGTTCGGGGGGAATGACCCCGCACTGTGAATCAGAGTGCTCAGCAAAAACAAAGTGGTCTACTGGGAGTTCATCTCCTGCACTGGCAACCAGCACTGCACTGGGGGAAAGAAAGGACATGGTGTTTACCACACCTCCTTACAGTGGGAAGGGATGGGGTGGGAGAGAGGTAGGGAAGGGGACGAGGAAGAGGAGATAAATGACACAGAGCGAAGGGAGAGCAGGCGAGAGAGAAAAGGCAGGAGAAGGAGAGAGAAGAGAAAGAAATGGACGGACAAAAGGAATGGAGAGGTCGCTGGCCCGTGTGGCAGTTCATGTGCCCATCTTAAAATGTCCTGACGTCAACAGCCGATTTGACAAAAGGACTTGAATACAAACGTCGCCCCTGGATGGACGTATTCTTCTTGTAGGTTTGACCAAGCGGAAAGGTTCATGTCCACACAGGTGATGTTCCACAATGTCCACAATCTTCCCTTACAAAGTCCATTTCCTGTGCATGAGCAGTTCCATGTAACTTCATGATGCCGGCCTCCAGTTCCAGTAAAAGTGACTGAATTTCCAGGAGGACCAACTCTCCTTTGAGCTTCTCTTTTGGTTTGTGTTCAGTCATTAACAGTGGTTAAATGAAAAAACTAAATAACTGAAACAAAATAAACAACTGAAGGGAACAAAGGTTAACAAACAAAAATAACAGAACATGTGCAATGTCTGGCACGACAATGGCAGCAGGGGAAAACAGCTGTACCTATATTATACTTGGATTTGATTATAGTTGGCTTTAACCATCATAATAGGAACATGTATATTCTTAGTTATCAAAGACTATGATTTTAGTTCACCAATGTGACTTCTCTGTGGTTAAAGCCAACTCAGAGACCAGGTCTCTGGAAAGAGGAAGTGAATCTGAGCTTACCCTGTGTGGGTCTGGCCGGCACTCTGGGAGGTAGGTGTGTTTTCAGCTTTATCTGGGGATGCGGCTGGGTTTGAGTCCAGGATGGGGGGTGCAGCAGGGGCCTCACTGAAGATCTCCGCTGGGGTGGGGGCATCTGTGGACACTTGGTCCTGTGCTGGAACTGGTTCTGGAGTGGAGGACACAGGGAGTTCCCGGTCATGGTCCTGGGTGTCACTCTGCAGGTCCAAATCAGCCTGGGGGTCTGGGTGGGGTTCTGGCTCAGGAGCAGCAGGTACAGTATCAGACTCTGGTTCAGGCTTGGTCTCCTTCACCTCAGCATCCCAATGAATCACAGTCTGGTGAGAGAAATCACAAAAAACATTCACATATAAAAAAGACAACACATTAACAGCTGAAAGCACTTGTTTTGGGACCGTGTAATAACATATATGCGACGTTACCTCTTCTTGGTGTATGTTTTGTGTTTCCAGCATCTCTAGTGCTGCTCTCTCCGTCTCTAGCCCCATATCGTATGATGTGTGTGTCGTCCATTCGTCCGACACCTAGGGAAAAAATAAATATAAAATTTCACTGAATAGTGGACTAAGGATAGGAATCTAAACTTGAGAAAGCAGTTCAAATCACTGCCTAATAATGAAGCACTGTGACAACAACAATTCAAGCACTTTGCAAGACACTGATTGATTTTGAATAATGTATTCTTGTGTGAAAATGCCAGATGCAAACGGTCTTTGCATCTCAGGTTGTGAAAAAAGCCTTTTGTTGATGGACAAAGACTACGGTATTAGGCCAGTGACAGACTGCCAGGCCTGTTGAACTGTCCTGGCACGCCTGTTTGTTTCTGGATCACAAACAATGACTCCCCTTCTTCTGCGCTCACACACTTGTAACGAAGCACACTGGCTTCCCCAAATTATCACTCATTATAATACTCATCTGCACATTACCACACACACACACACACACACACACACACACACACACACACACACACACACACCACTTTGAGGGTCCATTCATAAGAGCTGAGAGTATCAAAATTAACCCAGACCCAGCTCTGAGCCATCATCAGTCCACCTCAGAAAAGCTCTTGTTGACTGACTTAAGATGGATTAGTCTCCAACATTATTCAGCAACTAAGGATGCAGAAAGGACAATAAAGCAGAGAAATGGTAAAGCTTTGTGTACTCTGAACTCTAACCCACAGGGCTGGTCCAGACATATAGCACAACTACCTCTATGACTTCATAACACAGAGAAACCTAGATTCTTGACAAGTAGTAACTTTGTACTTACAAGTGGCTCTAATCTTTAGGTGCTGAACATTGTTTTCAGTCTTTGTAAGCATTTCTGACATAGTTTCAATCATGCAGATTATCACTTGTCAAATAAGAGATAAGGTGAAAGGAATATGTTTTATTTTTCCTTTAATAAAGCCCATCTTGGTGGGCGCAACCAAGAATTATGTAATACACTCTATCCCACAGGCTTGCCTCTATAATCCAGGACCTTCCTGGACCAACACATCAAATATTTATAACTACTCCTCTCTCTGTGCCTCCTACTTTTCACCAGAGGTTAGTGGTAGGGGTAGGAGAAAAAAAATTGATTCTTAGATGCATAGTGATACGGTCATGGAAGATTCTGACTCGATTAACAAATGTCAAAAAATAGATTATTTGAATGTTAATTGATATCGTAATGTTGACAGAACGCAAAAGGCGGAACTCGCAGAAGTGCAGCGCCCGGACCGTCTGTGGCGTGCACATAACAGAGAGACCAGTGTTCCTCCAGTATTCGGCACACCACCGCTGCGGAATGATTAACCACCCTACTTACATATCACACAATCATTAATATCAGTGCGCAAATAATGATTTTAACTCGCACATTGTGCGAGCACGGTGACACTCAACGCTTTGCAAGCTCTCTCTGTATCCGGTTTGTGAGGTCGAGCGAATAAGAGAGAGTGAGCGGCAGAACATGATGCCGAAAGTTGGCAGAAGACAATTGTTGGCAGTAAGTTATTGTCTGGTGTTATTGTCTGACAACTGATTGTTGAAGAAATGTGGGATCATGGAGCTGAGGTTAATGAAGTAAATTAGGGATGCAAACTAGTCCTTTTAAGCTAAATAGGAGATGTTTCTTTTAGATTTTAATGTGCAAATTAAATGCTTAGTAATTATCCAGTGATCCTGTATAGAAAAAAACATTATGCATCAAGATGCATCTATAATCGTTTTATAATCGCATCGCAGCCCTCTGAATCGTAACTGAATCGAATCGTGAGGTGCCCAGAGATTCCCACCCCTAGTTAGTGGGTCACTCAAGCACATGACCCAACTCCCACCACTATCCTCATAGTGTTCTGCTAACTCATCCATTTCACAGCAGCAAGTCTAATAATCCTCAGCTGGCCAAGAGGGTGAACCAGCAATGTTAACCACACTGAATATCCATCCATCCATTTACAGGGGCCGGGTCGCGGCAGCACAAAGTCGTCTACTCATCCCTCTTCCCCAGCAATGTTTTCCAGCTCCTCCTGGGGTATCCTCAGGAGCTCCCAAGCCAGAGGAAATATATAATCTCGCCAGCATGTCATGGCATGTCTACCCCGTGTCCCCCACCACTTGGATATGCCCCTGCCCCAACCACCTCAACTGGATCCTTGACACAAAGGAATCAGGAGCCAATTTATTTTTTTTTCATTAAAATGTGTTATTTCATATAATTGATCGAACATGTGTGTTCTTTATTACAACAGTGTGCCACAGCTGTTCATTAAAAGCAATGCTTGATGTGAGTGGAATATAAGAAAGCACAACACACCTTGTGTTGCGTGGAGTCCTGCTCCTGGCCATCAGGGTTTTTGTCCACGGCAGACTGACCTGGGTCAGAAAAGCTCTGCTCTGAACAATACACATATTGACTGGGGTACCTGAAACACAAAACATGGAACATTTGTCAGCACAGTAGATTATTAATGTAGTCATCATACATGAGAAACTAAATGGGTAATCAATGCCAGTTGCTGTACAAGCAGTAACAAAAAACCATTAACATGCTACTTCCACGTTAACGGTTTGTATTTAACCCATAAGGGTTTGAAACAATGATGAGAGGTTCAACAGCACAACATGCTGTTAACTCTGTGCGCCTTTGAATTAAAAGAATGCTACACTGCATGACATCCTCTTCAGCAAGAACACTTCCTTTCGTAAGGGGGAGGGCAACACACGCAAGCTCTTTGGGTACAGGCAAACAAAATACTGAGAACAAAGGAGGCTGAGTGTGAATGAGGAACAGCAGACAGTGAGAGATAAAGCCAAAGGAGAAATGGTAACATGAGGTCTAGAAGGGGAGAGCCAGACAGCAAGACAGGCCACTTTTTGGGTATTTTTGCAAGCTGCTCAAGGCAAACTACCTTCTTTGAATTGGTCTTTTCTACCCCTTCCTCCCTGTTCCTTTCTGCCCATAATGCTTAGCAGAGCCACGGATATTACTGAAACTCTTTCAGGTGTCTCCAAGTCAATCTTATTTCGACACAGCTCACTTGTGTGTGCAACCTTGACAAGTTTCATTATAGCCATTTTTGCATACCTGGAGCCTGTTTTCCTGTCCACTCAATGTTTAACTACTTTCAAGGCTACCCTATAAGGTGCAGTACAGAATGTCAGCAAAACATGGCTGTTCTATACCTTCAGTGTGCTCAAGGCCAACAGGGACAACATGAGGGGGAGAAGCCAGGAGCAGAGACTTACCTATAGTATCTCTGCCAGACAACAAGGCTACTGTAAACACATGAGCAACTTTTCAATACAGGACTGCTGATTTTATATGCATGTTAATACAAAGCCTGTGGTCCTGGAGAAAAATACTTAAAAATGGAACGGATAAGAGACCATAAGGAACAAGCTGAGGTAACAGAAGACACATAGGGTAAGAGGAAGATAAGGAAACACAACAGAGGAAGACAAGGACACAGGAGAAAGAGAGAGAGAGAGCTGGTTCTCAGTTGGTTACCTTATCAGTAGTGTTGAAATACAGTGAAGAATGGAGTAAGGGGAGAGTGAAGCTACACTGACAAGAGGTTTGTCTAGATATGTTCCTTTTGCTATGATGCAAATTTTCCATTAGTCACCTACAAACTATAGCTTAACTTCTTTGAACTTTAATAAGGTCAGTCAGCAGCAGACTGCTTCAGGCTAACTCAACATACAGAGTTCGAGTTAAACTGAAAGTACTTAAAACAGACCTCCGTGACACCTTTATGCAGGCTCTATTATGTGGAACCACGGGCCATGAAATATACATTGTACATATGTTTAACCCAAAGGCCTGTTTACATTATGTTAATACAAAAAGCTAACTCTGAACATGACGACACGTTGCATCAGTGACAAGAGGTACAAAGACGCAAAGCACCATGTGATCCTGAAACTGGAGAGCTTCCCCTTGAGCGGTCAAGTATCAATGTCAGGAGAGAGCAGGACACATGGACAGTCGTGTTAACACCCTGTCAGTCCGGCTGTCAGAAGGAGGGAGATGAGCAATGAACGCGCACATACTGACAATCGCACAGACAACCATCTGTGCAAGTCAGTGTCCTGTCAATCCGAGAGCCTCTCCATCTGTATTCTGTTCATTACAATTTGAGGTGATTGAATGAAGAGATAAAAGATGACAAGAACATCCAGCTGAGACTTTTGTTTGTGTTACAAATATATAAAAAATAAATTAATAAAACAGTAATATATATATATATATATATATATATATATATATATATATATATATATATATATATATATATATATATATATATATATATATATATATATATATATATAGACAAAAAATTAAAAAAATAATTCATTGATGAAAAAATAATAATAAATTTCAGTATCAAAAGTAAAAACAAAACAAATACTAAAATATCAAACGATCAAAATAATAATCTCTCTCTCTCTCTCTCACACACACAACAATCCTCTAGCTTTGTTGCAGTAAAGACGACTCAGGCTTGGTAGAGAAATAAACATCTCTGAATCTTCAACAGAGGTGTAAAATGTCATGTCTAGGAGGAAGCTCTGGCCCCTCATGTCTGCGAAACAGCTGACTCCGACACCTAGACATGACATTTACCGTTGTTATTTTGGATCCCCGTTGAAGATGAAATGTGCGCATGCTCCGATACGCATTAACACCTCAAAATATATGCTTTCACCTAAAGTGCTAGGAAGGAACACAAAGCCGATGACAGAAACCTAAGAGCCAAGCAAATATGAACCATGGGCTAAACTTAGCTTTCCATAGCTTTAAACTATGTTGTGTAAGGTGTCAAATGTCTGTGTTCTTCTCCACTCTCGAACATTAGAACACCCACGGATCTAAAGGAAGGACATATTTCAGATATTTTACTGAAAACAACTCCACAGAATTATGTAATACACTCCTGTGAAGTGTAAACTATAAATATTTAATGCATGCCTCTATGCATTCATACTGATTCTGATCCCCAGACATACTGTAGGTCTATCCACTGAGATAGCACAAATCTGTTTAAACATGTGGTTATAGGGCAGTCCCTCTCAGAATTACTGAGTATCTCTAAATAAGTGACTGATCTTTTTTTCTTACAAGATCCTACCTGCTAGAATTCATCCCTCTTTAGTCAGAACTCGGTAGCTGTAATGTGCTTACAGGAAAGCATTGTTAGATCATGCAAAATTCAACAGAGATCCACACTGTTTACTTAAAGCCTTCAGAATATCAGTACACAGGATGCCACAAAGCCTTAGGATTGTTTAAGAAATTTTCCAAAGGTCTCTCAACGTGGTCTGGTATGGTCTGAATACTTTGCGATGCAATGATGTGCTTATATCAAGGTCCTGTTGTTCCTGCATGTTCTCTGAAAAAATATCTGTTTCACTGTCTAGTTTCAGATAAGGACCTTACCTGCATAAAATTCACTCAATTCTTAAAAAGTTGTACAATCTTATTTTAAATGTGTATACACTGTGGCTGTTATTAATATCCGTTAATTAAAACAGACTGATAGAATAATTTAGTTAACGACTTCATGTTCCCAAACTTTGCTTGTTATCGTTTTTTTTTTTTTAAAAAGGCTTACAATCACCCAGATAGGAGAACACTTGTGTAAATACACACTTGATCGATGACAAACAGATCACACACCAGGGTGCAGGTTTAAGCAGACTTGTCACAGAGTAAACAATCCTGTACAAACTTCCGTGATGATGGACCTGTCCGGCATCCGCAATGTGACTCAATGAACCAATAGTTAACTGGAAACTGCCAAGTTGCAGAGAGCTATTCAAATGATAAAAATGCAAATACAGAGATAAAACATGTGGAGCAATTCAAGAACACAAATGCCCTGTGTTACACTGTACTGTAAAATAAGCGGGAAAGATGCCCCCCCCCCTCCCAGCATTACCTCGATGAGTGAACAAAAAACCTGAGGGTTGACCTTCCTTCTAAAAGATGAAAAAAAAAAAAAAAACAGAAAGCAGATGAAAAGAGGAAAAAAGGTGAAGATGGGGCTGGTCTGACAGGATCTGCTTTGGGGGTGTGCTGTGTGTGTAATTTGTAATTCCAATAGTTATGCAACAGTGAGAGGGGGAATTTCTGGCTGCTGAAAGAAGAAATGTGCCATGTGCGTTACATAGCAGTAGTGGGTCAATGCCAAGCTAATGAAGGAAGAGCCTGAGGCAAGACTTATGATTCAGCAGCTTGTAAATTCACTATTCCTCATTCTCTCTCTATTCCCATTTCCTCTCCAACTTCAGAAGCACCTGGGGGTTTTAAACAAGTTTTCCATGTTATAGGCTCTTCTCTGGAAACAAACGGCTGAATCATTTTGTAAATTTTGTACATTATCAGCATGTTTTCCCCCTGTTTCAGAAACATGTTAGCACACACAACACACCTCTAGAGCACCGATGGAGTCTGTGTCTTGCTTGAGGACACATTTACAAACTGAGCGATAACCTTTAAAAACAGCTTTCTACTTTTTATGCCATCATACTGCCTTTCAGTGCACAATACAACAATTAAAGGCAGCACAGCTTTGCACAGATGCACACAGACACGCTGGCTGATACACGGTCTCCACTGGTTCCCAACAGCCAAATCCCCTGATATTTCCTGTTGGCTTTAGGACCATTCAGAACAAGGAGACATGGTATGAATCAACTGCACGGTACTGTACCAACTGACTAGGTTGACAAAGAGCAGACAAAACTGCATAGACAACAGGCTGCAGAGAGATTCATCTCCCAGCAGCCGAGTCAAATATTTTCACCAGCTGCACGGCATGCAAACTGTGCTCCAATCTCAGGCAGGATGTGTGCCTTGTGACTAAATATTTTCAGAGGCATCAAGCGTGACAACAAGTGTGAACTTGCGTGGAGCTCCCTACAACCTTGGGTCTATGAGCTCTATAGCTGTATTGCTTCGACAGCCTTCCCCATTTTACTTTATTAAAACTCTTTACTGTCGAGTCTAGATCACAAGTGCTTTGTCACTCAGCCTTCTCATCACACACTCGTCTTTCTCATTGCATGACACTGCAACACAAGAATATATCCTGGGTCAGGGCAGATTAGTTGTTGACTTTCCCTGTCCTGGCCTAAATCTCAGACAAGCTTCTTGCTGCTTATTATATAAAGTCTCTCTATCACACACAAAAAACCTTTAACTAACCGACAGCACGTGTTGTACACTATGTCTTTACCATCCGACCTCCATTGTCTTAACTTACTTAAACGGTGTCACTGTGTCAGCAACAGGGTATAGATAAACAAAAGCATAAGAAGAGGGAGCAGTGACCAACAGCAGGGCAGTAAATTAGTCAAATTGATTGATATCATACTGAGGTCACTTGGTAAATGTCACGATGGTGTTGTTTATTGA